AATAAAGTTAAAGAAAATATCTAACCCGGGTACCAAAAAGATAGACGAGGCTGCAACAACAATAGAAATACTAATGGCTAAACTGGGGCTTTCAGTTGAGAGTCGTCGGGCCATGGGATTAAAGAAAATTAGATTTCAATAAGACGCTTGAACCGGGAATAGGAACAAAAATCTGAAAGCCGCAGATAATACGGGCACGATCACGCTTCTCTTTTTAATGCGATGTCAGCAAATGTCGCAGAGCTCCATGTACGTGAAGGATTTGTAATCTTCTTTCATCTAGCAAGGAATTTACAACCATTACGCTGAGATCTAATTTAATGATGTTGAACATTTCTTTTCAATTACTTAAGCTTTTCCCTACATAAATAAATATATGAGTGTGTGTATGTGTGTGTTTTCAACATTTACGTGTTTTATATATGTTATATACCTGAAATATATATTTAGAAGCAGAGCTTTAAAGGAGTCACGTAAATTAAATCACAATTTCGTCCAATTTATTTTAGAATTTCTTCCCATTCAGTTTTGTAGAAAATGTAATAAAATTTGTTGGACCGTAACAAGTTAACCACAAAGAATAGGTCTATTTAGAAACGAATACAAACTACCCATCTTCTTTTTTTTAATTTTCAGTTGGTATTCTGTTAACATTCATATCTATAACAATATAGAACTATATGAATTAATTTTAATGATAATGGAAGGAAAGACAGAAGATTAATTACTAGTAATGAAATGATGAATATTAATGATCGCCTTCTTGGTTTTATGAAAGTTTCAGTTTGTAAAATTCATCAAAAAATCTTATCTTTCGACATGTAGCATTTTCGGTCTAGCTTGTGACACAGGGAGTTAAAATTACTTAGTAGCTTCAGAAAAAATATAGGCGAATTGGTTCCCGTTTACAACTATTGAATATTCAAATCAAATATTAAGATAACAAATCTATCATTGTTTAGAGTAATGAGATCGAATTATTTATTCATTACATACCCGTACGCTACGCACGTTTCCAATAGATAACTGGCATAATTCGCGCAGGGGTGCTGCGCATCCCGCCGATACAATAGGAGATTATCAAACAAAATGACGTAAATAGTCCTCAAATAGGCGAAACTAGGCGCGGGTTAAGGGCCCGCAGGATGTCCGAGTCGCGTCTGGAATACCAAGTGGCCATTTAAACTGGCCTTCGGTTAACGAAACTGCCCACCGCTTTCTTTTCTTAAATAAGCTATAAGGGTATACGTATATCGTAACATATGTTCCGTTCTTTATGTCATTATTATATTATCTGTACCCGACATAACAAATATCATATTACTACAAATATATTTTCCTTATTGTAATGTTAAAAATATTCCACGGCACGAGCAAGCTATTTTATGGCGTGCTACAAAATTCAAAGGAATTCTAAATTGTAGCAAGGAAGTGGCTATCTAGGAAATGTACTTTTTGATGCTTTCAAAGGATCGCTTAGAGAAACTTAGACTGCGTACCAGACTAGTAGAAGTTTCTTAGACACGTTTCACTTAAATAAATGCCTAAAGATATCTTTATTGGAGATCATTGCTTGAGTTTCTTCAGCGGTGGTTAAAGTGTATATTATTTTTATCTTTAGAATAAGATCGCTTCAATTAATGTTTCTTAGCTCTTACAAACTGCACATACATTTGTTGAAATTTTAATTTATATATTCTGGATGAGCATCAGAATGTCTGTATTTATACTTATCATATTGTCACATAATAAGGATATTTGACAAGTAGAAATTCTTTTACAGGGAGGAAAGTGCGCGTATCGCGTTGATGGGACAATTCAATTACTCCATGAGCGAAGCAACCTGATTGCGTCTCAAAACAAAGACCCCGCTAATAGTACAGAGCGTCGGATAAACACTACAGCCAGTTTGTGTTAAAAAAATAAAGGCGACGACGATCGAATAAATGAGAACGGCGATAAACAGGAGGATTCGTTGTGAAAGGAGGGTCGATATCGAAATACATTATTCCCCGATCCGAGTGTTCCGATTCAAATTGAAAGAGCACCTCCAACATGAGATTTCTCGGGCGGCGAGTGGGCGCAGAATATAAATCGCCACATAACTAGAAATGGAAACTTTGAATTCACGCCTGTGGTTTTACTTGGCTATCTTTTGTTTCATAATATTCAATCAGCATTGTAAATTATATCCGCCGACTGTTTTCTAAATAGTTACCTAACGTTATTCAAGTAGCTCATTTCTTTGTAAGATTTATGACATTTATACAACTATTATCTTTTTTTTTAATCAAAAAATACGTGTCGAATGTAGGAAATGTATTTATAAAATCCTCTAGTATATAACATAGAAGTAACGTCGATAAATATTACGGCGTCCTTGTCACAGCTACTTAACATAAACTGAATACTTCTACTTATGCAGCAGAAATGGGACATACGCCTCCCCTCATCGCGTATTCTGCCCAATTCGCAACACGCCCAGCCGATATTTACGTAACAAACGTCTTTGCTGACTCCTGACACGCTCTTCCCTACTTTGTAACAACGATGAACTTTCTGTGAATTCAAGTTACTCGTATTCCTAACGTTTAAACATATGTAGTATTACATAGTTATAAGCACCTGACTAGAATTATGACGATTATAATTGCAATTTTGAATTGTTCACGCACAAAGGCTCCGGGATTAGATTATGATCTGAGGGTAATGAGAATTGAATGCTATTTAACGGGATCCATGTGGTTGTAGTCACCGGGGGGCGATGGCGGCGGAGCGCTAACTTTATTAAGGATGAGACTCCAGCTCATCTGAAGCAAGGTGAAGCGCCTTCACAATGCCCTATTCAGATTTAAATAGCTTTACGCCCAATTGCACTTCAATACGACACAAACTTTAGGATAGTTATTTCATTAAACATAGATTTCAGACGAGTCGCCTGCGGAAGGGCGCCTCGGGCTTTTAATTTCTTGCTAAAATTCCAGCTTAAGCGTAAGCTGAATTTTCATTCACCGGATATTCATTATGACATCAAATAAGAGACAAAAGTGCACATCTCTTAATGACCTTTCAACCTACACGGGCATACTTTGTTAAATTTTAAATGAGATGGTATGTGACCTGCGAGTTATACATTCGTCGCTAAGAAAACAATGTTAAGAGACATAAATGGCAAGCCGGTTGGGAGGGGCGAGGGTCGACGTAAAGTTTGGCAATTACGACGACCGCATGTCTGAGAGCGTCGTCTACAATCATTACAGGCTGAAACTCTACTTGTCTATATTAAAAGCAGAGACATTAACCCACAAAATAATATGAAAACTACACTAAGACTACACAATAACATAAAATATAATGGACGCTCCTTATTTAGTACACTAAGAGGAGTACTGACTTACTATTGACATAACATTCGGGTATCGAGGCTTGAAAGTTTAAAATAATTATAATAATATAAAATAAAGCTTTTAGGTTTAAACTGTCGTACAATGTAAAGCCATCACAACTGTTTGTTTGGAATAATTAAGTTTCAGATGCCGTGGCGTATTTATTTTACACTTCAAAATAAATTCACTGAGAATTGAAGAAATTAATTAAGTATTATTAATGAAATTATATATGAAAATAAGTCAAAACGTTTTAATATTGGAGGGTGTATTCTATGAGGTTCAATTCGAATGCGTAATTAAAACCGAGAACAATCAAGGAAAGTCACGTGTGGTTGAGACAAATAAGAATCAAGCGTAATGGAGTAAGTTGATTCATATATTAATTGTGAAATGTTTTGCAATTCCATTGTTTGATGTAACAGATTCCTCTTCTGATAAATTGCTTAATCGTTACGTTACGAGAGCGAATACAATTGTTGACGCAAGTGATCATACATTATTCTTCCGTTCATTACGTTCGAAATATATATATATTTTTTATATTTTTATTTTTTCGTTCTTATATATAAAATTGTACAGCATCTTACGCCGTTTAGGAGAAATTAAAAAAACTGCTGTAAAATGACGTCATCAAAGCCTTAAGAATAGTGGAAACGTAAAAACTTTCTAAGAGATCCTCTCCAAGAAGAAGCTGCGAGCGCTTGCTAATATAAAGAAAAGAAATCATGAAAACTTCAAAGGACTGCTATAAAGGGAAAATACTCGATTTACCGTAACTTAAATAGAAAATAAGACAAAGACAACACAAAAAAATCCTTTGCTTTAAATGAATTTTGGGTAGATGGAGGGACGTACGAAAATGTGAGCATTTATAAGACGGTCTTAATATGAAATTATAAATAATGGTTTTACTAACTGACATTTATTCCATAAAACACTTTTTACTTGTACTTATATGGTAATAGATCATCGATCATAAAAACCGGGTTGTACATGATGTTATAGTCGTGGATTTAATGAAACCATTTTAGGTAAAACACGCGCTGACTTGACATGTAACGTTACGAAAACCTTGAACGAATAACAGAATTTCTACAAATAAAATAGCTCGTTCTCACTTATACATCAACATTTTACTTTAATTTATAAATAAACAAAATTGATAGAATCTTGTAACAAAACAGACTGCAAGTAGTAAACAAGAATTAGAAATGCTAAAAAGACGAAAGAAAAAGAGCAGAAAATACAAATTGTGTTGATTTTTTCCAAAAAAATTATAATACTGTACAAAATAATGAAGAGCTATAAATCAGGATAGAATAATAATCATTATCTTCACGCAAACTTCGTGCGACTGAAGATTCATCATATCCTTTCCCTTTCATAGTAATTTCTTTTCCTTTTATAAATCTAAATCGTAGGATTATAGAGTTTAATGTACAAAACAGATACAACCAGTAGATTTGCGTGATTTTCATTAGTCAGCCATAAAATAAACAAAAAATGCTTACTTACCTGCAAACTTCGGCTTACATCTATTCTATAAATTCAGAACTTAGGTATAAATAATGTTTTTGCCCTACTCTCTATACACAAAAAAAGTCAACTAACCTGCAAACTGGGATGTACAGCCAATTGGAGCAAAGTGCGTACGACGGCTAAATGTCCTTTATTAACAGCTATATGTAGCGGTGTCTGTCTTCGTCTGTTTCTCGCATTAAGGTCCGCACCCGCTGCCGCTAGTGCCCTTAAAGCTGCGGACTCGTCACCAAAGGCTGCATGATGTGCCGCTCGATCCCCATCCCTATCCTCAGCATCAGCTTCGGCCCCAGCTTCTAACAAAACCCGCAGTACTTCCACATGTCCATTTTGAGCTGCTGCCTATAGATTATTAATATTTCCTTTAAAACCATTTTCTAAATAGTATTAGTCGTGGATTATATTTATTTATTAATCATTTTGGATACTAAAAAAGGTTAAACAAAAGTTTCCAACTTCACGTAACACATGAATACATGGAGTTTAAAATGGCAATTAAAACTCATGTGTCAATTCTGGCGTTGGAGATGGAACAATATAGAGTTTTTTTGCATTCTTTTTTATAGAATAAAAGATCTCTAAACTCTTCGTCTTGTTAAGAATATTAGGTGGATCTTCTTTTTTGGTAACCTCAATAAAACAAACACCTGCAAAACGACATACCATAAACAAAGATATACATACCAATAAAGCCGTATGACCGCCATAAACTCCGTTCACATCAGCCTGTCCACCATCTGTTCTTGCCAGTATTTCCGCACATCTTGCAGCATCACCATTGGTGGCTGCCTTTACCAGCTCCTCATTGGCATTACCGGTCACGTGGGGTTCGAATAGCTTTTTTAACAGCACAGAAAGTCTATCACCTGCAAAACATGTATCACTTATTACTATAAATAAAGAAGTTAATATCTTAAGTAAACAATAAAACACCATATAGCTGTATACGAGATTATCTGATTTAGGAACGTCCATCTATTATTCGAACAACAATACTCGTCAAACCTAAATCTCATATATTAACGAATAAATCACTTTCAATGCCGGCGACTTTGTAAGAAAGTTCCTAACGTCCATTGATATGTCAAGAAATCCAATATACCTGATGAATTTCCTGGAATGCTGCCATCGAAAGACGCCACTTTGGTCACCGCGTTAGGATTGTACGTCCACGAAGTGTTGCAAACTTCGACTTTCAGATCGTTATCGTGATAAATCTGCTGCACGCGACCAATTTTGCCAAGTGTCTAGAATGAAAATATGGATATGAATAATGGTTCAGGAGCCAGAATATAGCTTTTTCTTTATACCCGTTCACCGTACGAATTACATATATTAAAATGTGTTTTATTACGTTCAACGCTGGCCATACTTTTTGCATTTGGTAGAATTTGTGATCAAATTCATGTTTAAAGATATTATCAGCAAAAAATTAAATTGAAATCTCTATAGTTTTGGATAAAATATATCGTTGGTGTTCAGTAAAACAAACTATTTTTTTTATTGAATGCAAAACCAATTAACAAATAAACACTACTTTTTAAAATTTAAACAAAAAAGGTTTCTGAGAAATAACAAACCGACAGAAATGGTAATATTGATTTTCTTAACAACTATTCAACAAGCTTAATGGAGGCATTTCATTTATGGCTAAGAGATAGCTGTTTCTAGACATAATATTCAAATTGAAAGGTTTCTATTGAAGGAACATAAAAATATTTAATAAGTGAATAAAAAGCACGTCTGCTTTACTTCTAAATCTACGCCAATTAGTATTTAAAAAAAAACTCGCGTCGGTGAATTAAAACTTAAGTAAAAGAATATAAACGTTTTCTTTTTTTAGATTTTTATTAGAACAGCTATAAAAGAATGTAATGCAAACATGAAATCTGACCCATGTTTTTTTTAATACTGTCCAAAGTTACTTAAGAAATTTAATGCAATACATTGATCAATATTCGTTGAACATTAAAAAGGTAAAATTTTGGTTTTATGTTTTAATAGCATTATTATATCAAAGTGACGATTGATAATATTATTATTAATTATTAATTTACAAGTGCAATATAACCTACAATGCCATGAAAAAGTAAATTTAGTGCATTATTTAAAAATACATACATATTTTTAAAATATTAAAATTTTTACAACATACTTTTTAGCTATTCCTCCTCTTAAAACAGTTTATACTAAACGGCGAACAATCAGTGTCAGTTAGGGTTTTTTAAATATTCTAGAAAGTATAAATAAAACATCCCTTAAATATTACAGCTTTGTCGTATAAAATAAAAATAGTACAACCTATAGATTAAAAGGAATACTACAGTTCATATAATCTTAAAAGTTTCTATAAAAGCCGGTTACGCCTTTGTTTCAATTTTCATCTCATTTGCATAAAATACAAACATGCAAGAAAATCGCAGTTAAAATATAGTCTCACATACCTACCATCGATGCCTGTAAGCTAAACAACGTATCACAAACACACAATTTATACGTTAGTTTTAACTTGTGAAATAGATACAGATCGTATCTTTATTTTATGGTGCCATAAACTTTACATTATTCCTTTAATAGCTTGATAAACTGTTTAACAAAAAACACTTCCCTCGTAAAAAAGTGACAGAGAAATAAAAACTGAGGGCAAAAATAACAGTGTAGCCACCGGCTTATAGAAGGGCTGTAATCCCTTCTCGTAATGTTTGTGCAAAAAAGTGGTAAACAATAAGAAAACAAACATAAATTTGTCAAATTTTGCAGCCAGAGTAATATACATAAGTTATATTAATTAATTATTCATAATTTAGCAAATGTTTATATAAAAATACAAATGAGTAATGTAGAATTTAAAATTCATCGACAATCATGAAACGACCCAGCGGTATCCACAACATCGCGTCCCATCTACATATTTGACAATTAAAATATCGCATTCTTACTTCGACCTCTGTTTAAATTTTTACTTCTACTTACACTTTTCATTTGAATATAAATTGATTTATTTGAATATAATTAGTTACCGTCAAAACTCATTGAAAATCTTTAACATTATGAAACTTTTAGCCTATTACTTTACCTACAATAGCAACAAGAGCATGCAATTTTACCGTTATTTTAAATTAAATATACTTAATGTAATCCTATGCATAAAATTCTCGTGTCACGATGTTAGTTACTAGGGTAAACCATTTCAGAGGAGTAACTAAATCCACCTATTAGAAGCCCACTGCTGAGCATAGCCTCTTCTCACATTGAGAAAGTTTGAGCATTAATCAACACGCTTGCTCAAGACGGGTTGGTGATTTAAAATATAATTGTGAAACTATAGGTCCAGGTTTCCTCACGATGTTTTCCTTCACCGTATGTCAGTGGTGTCGAAATACTCTCAAAAAGTACATATGACTCCGAAAAATCACATTGGTACTTGCCAGGTTTGAACCCGCGCCCTCCGCAACGAGAGGCGGGCCCTTTAACCAATAGGCCACCATTCAGAAGAGTAGGCTCCTCTGAAATGGTTTGACCGACTTTTAAGAAATTTTAAATGCATATCCAATAGGTCTGAGAATCGGCTACTATCTATTTTTCATATCCCCAAGTGATAAGAGTTGTACACCCCTAACATGTATTATTTTAATTTTTTGATCAATTTATTATGTTTTATTTTGTTATTAAAAATACACACACTTCTATCAGCAATAAATATTTAGAAAAGTTGTATTAGTAATAAATCATTTTTATCCCGCTAGATAACAGGTCAATATCGTTTGAGAAATCATCTCGGAGAAAGAGATAATTAAAACCAAGTCATCGTCTTTTTGTGAATGTTTTTGATCATTTTTTTTGTTTTCACTTATAAGACCTCCAATTCCCACAGATTTTTCCTTACATTCGACCATATCATGTTTTTTTATGACAAAAAGTGCAAACGAGCAAACGGTCTACCTGATGGAGGTACCGTCGCCCATGGACATCTGCAAAATAGTTATGCGGATGCGTTGCCACCCTTATATGGGGAAGAAGGAGAGAAAATGGTGGGAACAGTTATTATTATATTATTAATAATAGTCTAATATTAATATTTTTTAATTTGTAAAACCGTTTACCAAGTTTTACGTCAGATAAAACATTATTTTCATGAATGCTTTCAAAAAATATTATTGAATAGTAAAATAATAATATATTTTTATGTTCTGTTTAAATAATTTTCCTAATTATTTTTTTCCCGTCGTTGATAATAGTGTCATGTGATTTTTAATACATGTAAATGTCTACATATTTTACAAATTATATATAACAATTTCCACATTGAATTACTTAAAACTGATTGTAAGTTTACTATCTAGAGTTTTATTTATTCCAAAATATCTCGTGTGCGACAAATTACTGACAAATCATCAACATCATCTCTCGTTCCATTTATACACTGCAGGAGGTGATTTGCATTAGGGCCAGCACGATACTCGGTCAATCCTAAGTGTTACTGTTTAACCAAGTCCCTAATTTTGCTGTATAATAAATAGCTTAAATTAATAACCATAATATATAGTCAGCGGTGGCCTAGTGGTAAAAGGTCCGCCTCTCATGCATGAGGGGTTCGATCCTGGCAAGTACCAATGTGATTTTTCCGAGTCGTATGTACTTTCTAAGACTATTTAGACATCACTGATTAATGCATTCCCAAATAGGGTTGATGTCAGGCAGGCGGCCGGTCAAAACAATTAGCCAAAACTATTCGCAACATGTAAGGCAGACCCTGGCTAAAAGCTGGGAAATTGCCAGGTAGACGAATAACCATAGTATACTTTGTCACAAGTCCACGTTTTCTCATTATGAAGTAACAGCGCAAATGACAATAATGACACACCTGGTAATCCGATATCAGAATAATCTTAAAATATTAATTTATTTTATTGTGGTATAAAAATATTTCACCATATACATATAATATTCCAAATCATAAGTTCAATCTAAATCGTAATGTTTCTCACAGACTTGAATTCATTGTTCGAATACGTTAAAATACTTGGATTTGTTATTAGACTACTGCATAATTATTGCATTTGCTTTCATTTTTTGTTACACCGATGGAGGTACTCGATTTTTTTTTTACTAGGAATTTAGATTTTATTTCGCTAAAACAATATCAAGAGGTATAATCAGATTGTGACTATAATAAATAACGTATGACATAATTATAATATAACAATTTTTGAAAATATTTAATTTGTCAAAGCCCTAAATTCGTTGCCTCTTCCCTATGCAAAGGGACCCAGTTTATCGAAATATTATGTTTTAGATTGTAGCTAAAACAATTAATATAGTTTATATTGAATTGTGCCACAAGGTTACAACTGTCTGGATAATTTCCGGATCTATTTTATAGTCTAAAACATTGCCTGAATTTTCACGTATCTCTGTAGTCGATGATAATAAATTACCAACAATATGACCGTCTACAGTTTTTTTTCTATATAACTTGTATGTATTTCGTTTTGGATCATAATAGAACGTGATCAATTTTATTTTCAAACTAGGTTTCAAAGGTTCTATAATTTGTCACTTGAAAAAAAACATACGCTTTATATAACTGTGCTTTTTGACAATTCGAGAGTTTTGTCTGTTTAATTATCAAGTTTTTCAATTAAGTGGTAATATATCTAGATATAGATAGTATAAAGAATACATCCGATTAAAAAAAACATCTCCTTTTATTTTATCTAACGCGTTAATATAGCAAAATACATTTAGCAATTTCAAGTAATTATCTCTGATTTCTGCAAACTATAGAATTTCACTCTCATCTCATCTGCCGGTGATCACGATTGTTGCAAAGTAACCGAAACGTCGGGTGGATGTAGTTTTAAATAATAAAATAACCCGTAGCAAATACTAGTTTCATTTAAATAAATAGCTGCGAAAGTCTTAGATCTCATTACAGTATATCTTTTTATCATGTATATAATAGTAATAAATACACTAACCGGTGCCATAGCCTCTGCCCACTCTCCATGACCCCTCTGCATAGCTTTAACTCTCTGTTGGTCCGCGCACACTTGGACCAGATCTCCAACAGCGAACCCGCCTCCAGAACTACCCTCCGCTGAAGTTGACGCGCTCATTCCGCCGCTACACACCTGGTTAAACCAAATAAATGTATGGACATTAATAATTTTACGACACAATAAGTTTTCTTGCAAAATAAACGCTAACAATTGTAAAAGAAAGAACTTTCAGTTTAGTAGTTATGTATGCTATAAGTCCATAGTCTATACACATCGAGTTTAACTCAACAAAAAAAAATGCAAAATTGTATGCAATAATCTATAAATAGAGTCTTCATAAAAAAATCCAAAGACGAATAGCGCTCGTACTTACTTTGATTAAAAAAATATAAGCAAAATAGTAAATAAGAATGTTTTGGTATGGCAGAAACATTTTACAAGGATACGTGGGCAATGGGCATATATTTAAAGATATGAAATACGTATCGTTTGAGCTGTTATTCTATAATCAGACTTATTGGTGAATTGCTACAAACCTGAACTATTGACCATCTGAGAGCTTAATATTATGAGATATAGTAAAGGTGACGTTGTCACAATATCTTTAAAACAGCTGATGCCAACACTAATTTGTTAAAGTTTTATTTATTTTTATTCGATAGCAAATGTTTTAATAGCTTTTTATATGAGCAGCATTGTAATGGACTATCAAGAGAGATGTCTTGGTTTGTGACTTGGGAATGACTTCCCGTAATAAGGCCTCTAAAATTAAGACATTAATTCTTTGCCTTGTCCATGGACACACTACGGTCAATCACTATGTCAGTCGTTATTATTTTAAGAATACTGAAAACTGGAAACATAGCATCCAAAATATTGAGCCCAAATAATCACCAGCGGTTACAATGTTGCTAAGTTTCAGGCTTTTTATTAAACTTGACAACCATCATGAAAAATAATTTTATACGAAATAGGTAAATCGATAATAAAGTAGATTTTCAACGTTTAATTGATTCCTCCTTAAGAAATTGCTTTAATTTGATTCACTACACGTCATTCAAACTTGTTTATCATCCATATAACGACTCTCAGTTAATTATCTAGACCAAGGCTTTCTAAATGTTATTCTGTAATCGATTTTTCTCAGCTGCCAGATCAAAAATGCACTAATTTTTGTAATTTTAATAAATACGAAATATAGTCAAATTTTTAGAACATATCTTAATCATTTCATCCTGTCCACAATTTCTGACGCCCTTTACGTGAAAAAGTAAGGAAAAAGATAATTAATATTACAAGACACTTCCAATCCTTTGCCTACTACTGACGATTTTTAGAAATTCATCCATACATTAAAAAAAACTATTTTAATATTATCTTTTATGAGTATATAATATATTGTCTTTCTAATCTATATATCAAGTTACCTTTGTCAGAACGGCCGGGTTGAAGGTCCATCGTATCCCGCTGCGGTATCCGACCAGTATATCATGATCCTCATCTATACCGATGACCGTGCCAGTGCTGCTGAGACACTCGAACATACCGTCTGTCCAGCCTCCGTGGCCGTGTTGCAGAGACTGAACTATTTCTAGGTCCAGATCTATGTTTACCTACAATTAAAAACAATCATATATTTCTGCTTCTTATTTTTTTTTGATTACGCAGGGAAACTCTTTTTACGAGCCGTCCAACCGGCCTTGGTGGGGCCGGAAGGGATGTGTGAGGCTCGGCCTGGGCAGGCCCCTACTCACTAAAACCACTGCGAAAGCGGTATATTTCTGCTTCTGTTCAATGACAGTCAAGCACAATTCAAGCAAAGTTGAAAAAATATATATGTATTAGTAAAAATATGTGTAAGCAAATCTGACTGGCCCTTTTTTATACTAATATGTATAACATGACTTAAAAATATACTCAAAATCAACCTTTTTACGCTTTTTTTTTTATTTATAAGCAATAATACATTTTCACTCATAACAGTTACAGTATAAATTGTTATATTATATTACACTCATATCTATACAAGAAAGTATTAAAAAATAAAATTGGACTACTAAACCTATATTTTTGATTCATTGATAGTATTCATACCATTTTTTTATAATATGTACCTAAGTATGATTAAAAGGTAATTCTTATAATACTTTTAATATGAAATATAAATATAAATTTTTTGGGTCACATCTCTGTATATTGCAACAGACTGAGAAACATTTAACTAGTTTTTATTCCAATCTACATCTACTGTTTCATTTCAATCTATTAACAGGTGGAAGGACAGTCATCCTATAAGAAGGATAGTTATTTGTTTATTTAGGATATCACTAATACCAATAATTAAATATGTAGTAAAAAAACTAGTAGACAATAAGTACTATACATCAATTAATCTGTTCAATAGTTCATATATCAGTAAATATTTTGTGATAGTTAAACATCCTTCAACTTACTTGATCTCCAACTTGGAAGCCATGAGGCCCAGTGCGTCCAGGCCCTGATTCTCCCAAAAGCGGCAAGTGTTCCTTATAAACATTCTGACCTTTGGCATCATTTAGAACCTGAAAATTTATAATTAATATGTGAACATGCTGTATAAGTATATATTTTGACCTTAAAACAACAAGATGCTTTGAAACTGAATGTCTTTTTATTTAAATTTAATTAAGATATGTATTGGATTTTTAATTAACTGTCTTATATCAGACAATTGTATTTATTTCATATTGTGTACACACAAGTGATTATTATATTAATTTCTTAGAAATGTAATAGAATAGAAGGAATTGCCATTTAATGAGTACCTTCAGATCAGCAATGCCTTCAAAGCCGACTCTATACAGATTTTTAGCTCCATTATCCCAAACAACATAGGCTGCTGAACGTGGACTAGCTGCCGACCAGTCTTGAATCTCATTAACTTTGCCTCTTCTACCATTCCCCCCATCTTGATCCTCCCATTGCCAATCAACCTTTAATTATATATAATTTCATGTTTAAATAATATTCCCATACATGATTTATGTTACATACATACATAATAAATTAAAATAATATACAAGGACAAAATGATTTTATGATCATAGCTGCTGTAAAGTAACAGAAACTTCTGGTAAAATGTTGTTTCATGGGATGACAATGCATACTTATTAGGTTTATTATTATTTAACTGTCTAGTTGATAACTCTTTTGTGTGAAATATTACTGACTTCTTTATAATTACTATATTATAATCTATTGCAATCATTATATCACTTACCCCTCTAACAACCCTAGCTCCTGGGAATATTCCTCTAACAGCCTGTTTCTTACTTTTCCTTCTCGGTTCCATCAAACATCTCTGAGCTCCTGGAGCACTGATTCTGTAGAACTTATGTCTCAGATGATGCTTATCCCCATGATAACACACTGAGCATAGATCATAGTTTATACACTCAGCACATTTCCAACGAATTCCTGAAAAACAAATGTGTTTCATGTTTTTACTCAGATAAATCAATTGATATTTGACTTTTTTTTTATTTTGAAGCAACAGGTTTAAGTTTTGATGTTTGTTTTGAATTTGTTTTATTGTAAAGCCTGTTACTTGTTTAAGTTCTACTGTTTGTGTTAATTCTATACAAGTAAATTCTAACTATAAATATAAGTCATAAGATTCAAATTTGACAGTTAACAAAGTATACAAATAATAGTTATTAAGACAGACAAGTTGTGTATATACTGTATAAGTTAACTAATGTAAATATTTTAGTTACCAGCTATAGGTTGCTGACGACAAGTATCACACATAGTCCCCTCATGTTTCACACCTGTAGGGGCACTATCAAGAATTCTCAAGTCATATGCTCCTAAGCATCTATAGTTTGCAGCTGTTCCATTGTCCCATACTACAACAACTTCTTCAGGTGATACAAAATTCCTAACAGTGCCGACGTGACCCTCTCCCCCATCCTGAAATGTTTGTTAATCCTCAAATTATATTAATTCATAACAAAAAATATAACTAAACACTTGAATACTAATAGCCGTGAAAAATAGTAAGTTGTCTTAATAGAAAACAATAGTAATATAATGTACCTGCTTGCCCCATTTCCAATCAGGTCCCCTTATTACTCGCGCTCCAACACCTTCCATCATAAATCTAGTGACTCTTGAAGAAGACGATGAGCCCTGTGCGTTGGGCTCCATCCATACCCTTATTGTTTAAAATACAAGAAAAATAATTGTCATTAACTTCTAGCGTTTTCGAAATAAATAAAAATATTGGAGAGTTAGACAGTTCCCGTATATTGTGCCTATTACTATGACAGATGAAAGGTGTCATTCTTGTAATTGACATTGATTGAAGGTTAAAACTATGGTTCATTCCAAGCTTTCGAAAGTTGAAAAAGATGTGAAAATGTTGTAATTTATTTCCGAATCGAAATTACATTCAAGAAATAATCGAAACATAACTTCGTTTTCTTAAAATTCGCATCAAAAAAGAAAAAATAAATATAATTAATACAAAAAATTAATTCTTTTAAAAAATATTTCTTTTTGAATATTTATGATATTTTGTTTTTTGAAATATTAACGTACTTTATAGAAGAATGCTTGTATTAGTAATATTTTGAATAACTTGATAAGACCGTACTACAAGTCATAATTTTATCATAGTTTGTGTTCATTACTTTCAATATTTTTTTTAGTTGTCACCTCTCTATTTCGATAAAATTCTACTTCGGTTAGTAGAGTTTCCGTGAGTAATTAAATAATCTATATTCAATTATCATAGTGTACCCGAATCAAGTAACAAATTATTAAGATAAGCATTTTTAAAAATATTGTTAGGTGTTATAAATATAATACATATAATTTATAATATAATAAAAAAACGTAGTAAAATTGCTTTTGCGTTCCGTTTTTATGCAAGCTATAAAAAAATTCATGCCGTTTTTTGGAATTTTGATTCTTTTAAAATGTCACTGACACTGACGTTTATGTAAATAGATATATATAATATACCTCCCTATCCTGACAGTCCAGTGATTGAAGCGATGAGGGTTTTTTGTTCTTAATATAATTGTATGTATGAAAGCTTTTTAAAAGTGTAAAACAGTCCTTCATCTAACATAATTAAAAGTTAATAATCTCGGGAGTTAAATAAGTTTTATTATGTCACATAATCGTAATAAATATGAAAGAGCACGAAGAAGACTCGCTGCTGTTACATTTTTATCAAATATATCCTTGGACGGATCTTTTAAAGACACGGAACTGTGCCAAGTTTATGATAAGAAATCGTCGAAATTCGACAAATGTGACTGTATATCAAAATCAAATGATTTTCAAATCAATCACAAAGACATTATATATAATAGCGCCAACTGCAATGCGGTACAATGCAGACTGAGAGCACAACAAACAAGTCCGGTCCAAAGAAATTGTGATAATCATTCTCATAGTTCTGATTCCGAACAAGCTAATGTGACACCTCTCAAAGGTGTTGGTAATACTTACAGGGAAGGGTCTGTTGTTTATATAAATATATTCATTAATTTGATTACAACAACATTGTGATAACTAATGATTATTTATTTATTGTTGTTATGCAGTGGCTCAACTACTAATATAGAGACATTTAGAGAAAGGCACCCTTCAATAAGGGGTAGGAAAATTACTCCAATAACCCAAGATGATAAAAGCAGTAGTGAGAGTCTTACTTTTGGTGAGTTTTAATATGATAACATAATGTACCATTTTCTATTACTAGGTACTTGTTCACATACATAATTAATAATTATTCAATTTATGAAGTCATCCAATTTCGATACATTTAACTTATTTTTAATAAATAAAATGATTTTTTGATAATATGAAATCTCTTGTTAGAAATTCTAGTGAAGGTCCAAATTTTGACTTGGAATACATATCAATGTTACATTGACTTCTCATAACTAATGTTAATCATCACTCACAATAATACATAATGATTATTTATAGTTATTTAATAATAAATGTGTAATGTTTAAGGTCGTTTCCGTACAAGTAGTACTTGCATTCCAGAGAATCCTCAATTTAAAAATCAATTGAGGTTCATAAGAGCTACAAAGGGTGTTACATTTAAAGATGAGAGACTTGCGTTAGCTCCAGCACAAGGAGCACCCTGTGTACTGTTTAGTACAATACCATATTCTAAAACTATAAAGGGCGTCCGGTAAGTAATTACTATGTTTGTGAGTCAGTGATGTTCTATTCATTAATTATAAATATTAAGACAAAGTACATTAGTTTACTGACTCTTGTATACTTCCTCTATCCATAGACCTTTAAAATTAAGTACTTAATATTGTTAAAATTTAAACTGCCTGTTTGTTTGTTTCTATTCCATATCTTTTCCTAAATTAACTTTTCCTGTGCATCAAAACCTGTGCAGACATCATAGATGTGTGCAGATAATATAAGTTATATCATTATGTCATATATTAATACTTATTTTAAAAACTACATGAACGAAATGACCATTAATATGATTATGTATCAAGATAATAACTGCTAGTTCACCCCTACCAGCTTTCAGAAGACAGAGAGTAATCTTGCATTGGAAAAGTAGGTACCATTAATAGTAGCTTATGAATCATTTGTCACCAAATCAAATATTTCCCTAACTTATTCTACAAAATTTATGTTGTAGAGCTGATTTGAGAAAAGATGGAGTGCGGCGACGTAACACGTCTGGCCCGAGACCGTTATCTGCGATTACCGACAATGGAATGGATCCTTTTGACCTACTAGGCTTGGAGCGAGAGGAAAACGGACAAGATATATCATACTCAAAACTATTGATACCATCCAGAATATGCACAAGGGAACAGTATAAGAAAATGTATGAAGGTGATTTCTCTGATAAAACAACTTGGAAAATGATTAATCGCCAGCCTCATGTGATAGCAAGGTATAAACGTTTTTAGTACAAAATTTTTCTTGTTAAATGTTTAAATCGTAATGTGCATGTTTATCATTCCTTTGTTGTTTTTTTTTGACAATCTAATGTTATTTTTTTGATGTTTCTCTTGACAACCCTCGACCAACACATACCAACATACCATACAGTGACGTTGACTGAAACATTTCATGTTATAAAACACTCATTTCAAGTTATGCTTGCCCATATTGGAGTGTTATAAACATAACATCTCATGCCATCACTAACATTTGAATTTCAGGACTAAGTTATTGACCAGACACAAGGATAAGAAATGGTAAATGAAAAAAGAATTATGTAATGCTAATTATTAGTTTTTAGTATTAACGCTGTACATACCAGACTTATTATTTATTACACTGGGAATATAATATGAATTAATTTATGTATTGACACTGAGATATTATGACAAATTCTGGTTTATTTCCGCTTCATATTGTTCAATTCACAAAGCACTTCTAATTATGTCATTTTCAATACTTGCTCATTAATTATCACCAAACGTCCACTGCAATTAATTTGCTATATCTGAACTAATGCTATATATTATATATTTTAAAGTGTTCATATTCCTATATTTTATATTTGATGGATAATTGGTGCAGGTGCCTATTAATATGATATTGTGATTTTTACTGTATCACATTCAGAATTATTGAATAGGACATACAATTTAGTAAAAAAAAAGAAATATTATCTTAGAATATTTATAACTTAGAGTTGGTATTATATTTGAGTGTAATACAGTACAGTATTGTGATATTTAGATCAAAATTTAAATAAAACTAGACATTAGTGATTGGCTGATATTATTTAGATAGAAATATCACAAATAAATTAGTTGTACAGCATGACTAACATTCAGACAGACCAACAAATGCATGTATTCAATGCGGGGCTTCAGTAATGACAACTGCATGATAGTAAACGATTTTTGTTACGTCAAGTTTGATATATAGTTATGTTTAGGTGTTTCTCGTATGAATCGTCACAACGTGTGGCGACAGTCGCTTCGTCTCCTCCTCACTCCTCGGTAGAGAATAAGACCTTCGATTGGGACGAAACTTCACTGATATCACAGAAATATGTAAGTATATTAAATGAGAAATTGACTTTAAAGTTATGTTGAAGGATAAGTTCTTTTAAAGAAACTTATATTTTTCGGATTACTACGCGTATTTCATTATTTTTAAAACGCCATACTCCCGAAGTTTCAGTTACATTGCAGCAAACATGATACCGGACGGCCGAGATTTGGAATCTCGTTTGATGTAGTAATCCAAAAAATATTAATTCCATTTAAAATTTAAAAGAATACAAGCGTAAGTCTTGGATCATAACTTTTAACAAAGGAAACGTTCAAGTATTATGTAACGCAATTTTTGAAGATTTTTGAGCCCCCCCTTTATCCCCTTGTAACGCACCGTAACGGTTTTCTATACCCCCACCCCTTCTCTAAACGTTATTTAACACTCAAGTGATGAATTTCATCCTAAAGTTGTAAAAAATTATGTAATAGTTTGGTACAGTTTTAATCTACTACTGAAACAAGATCACTGATACAAATCTCCCTCTTTTCAAGATTTGATAAACACTAAGGAATACTGACAACGGAATCAACGTTAAATGACGTACAATGCAATCTAGGTATTCCACGTCAAATATTAATTAAGAGGTTTACAAACTTGCGAGAACAAATAAAAATCTCGACCGGACTAATACAATCGCTCGATTGTATTAGTTAATAGCTGGTCGACATAATGTAACGTATATAAAAAGGGTTGCCAGCTAGGGGGTTTTAAACATATTTTTTTTAGAAACAATGCTACGTAACGTTTTGTAAGAAACACCCCCTCCCGCACCAGTAACGCATCTTAACGTTTTACGAGAACTCTCCCTCCCCCAAATTGCATTACGTAATACTTGAACGCTCCCAATTTATTAAGTATTTTATTCCAAAAATTGTTTATGTTATTAATTTTAAATTTATACTCTTAATTTTAGTTTGTTAAATTTAGGAATTTAACTTGCAAGATATCCTAATGTCTTTAATGAAAAGTGATATTTTTGATAAGTTTCGAGAACTTACCAACCATTAAGGTATTAATATTTTAATCTTGATTGTAGTTTGTACCAAACATCGAGTTCAATATTTTACAGAGAGTATGAAAAGACAAACAGTTACGCAATCGTCAGTCCTATAAATTATTGTGTCACAAACAAACAACTCGTTTTTGACATTGAAATTGAAAAAATATTTTTATTATTTTAAGCTATTCCTTCAGTCGCTTTGGAACCGTGGAATATTTTGCCAATGTAAACATTTGAAACAATGTTAACTTTTAAATAACCTTGCAATTAGCCATTTGTTTAAAATGTTGCCAAATTCTTATTTATCTTTAAAATGTGATATTGTCATTTTAATTCAAAAATGGTAATTCGTACATATTTCTTTAGTTTTTTAGAACTCATGCACATATAATATTTTATAGTATTTAAGAATCAAAAAGTTTTCATAATACCAAGAGAAATTATTAATAAAATTTCACGCCCCAAAACACATTTTGACTCTTAAAAAGACTAGTACAGTAGAAACTCGATTAACCGGACTAATTGTTGTCGATAGGCATTCGGATAATCGAAAATCCGGATAACCGAATGTATGAAGAAAAGCCGGTTTTGTGCATATGTAGTACATAATATTATATGTTTATTTAAAAAAATAACAAAAACATATCAACGAAAATCAATGTCTATGAATAAATAATTAAAGGATACATTTTCTTAGATTACATATACATGTATCTTCTAAAAACTGCAGATTTAATCATGAAATAAATTACAATATGTATTTGGTAATTTGCAATTGGTAATTATGAATTAATATATGTAATAAGTTTTATTTGGTTTGGAATATTTTTAATTGTCATTTAACTCGTACACCACTCTCAACAACACCACTCTCTTTTTTAATATGTATTTATAAGTAGATTTGAAATGCACGTCAAAGCGAATAACAATTGCTAACTAATTAGAACTAATACCAATAACGAAACTCGCGGGGTAGCAATCTTTTTAGCGAATTCGACTTGTAAGTTTCATATACATATTTCATATAATTGGTCAGTAGTCCGGATATTCGCGAATCCATATAACTGAGGGCCGGATAATCGAGTTTCTACTGTATATATTAAAAAATCATAACAATCTACCAATAGGCAGCATTAATCATTGATATTCGGAAATTGTTACACCACATAAAGCTTTTGTTTGGACATGAGAATAGTGCCTTAGGAGTTGGGAGTGACTTATACAGGGTGACTGGTGAATTACTATCAATATTTAAGGAGCATACTCGGTACATGATTCTCATTCGAATTATGTAAAAAAAATAGGCACTTAATTTTTGACAAAATTTCCGTATAAATAAATAAAGTGTTGACACGTTCCAAGTGTTCCAAGTGTGGACGCGTGCGACGGCGTGCTGATACAACACCACGCCGCCGCCCGCGTATGTGTGAGTGTGTGTGTATACCTAATCTGTAGGGTGTTCACACGATGCGTAATTAATTACATAACTTTTGGTTAACTTTACTTAGAAGTTTATTAATATTTATGTTATATTAATTTTTATTTTGTCATATATGATCGTCAAATATCACGTCCTCTAATATCGATAGTAATTCACCAGTCACCCTGTATAATTTATATTAAAGGTGCATTATTGTCCAAACGTTTTGGACGATCCCGAGCTGATAGCTGGCAAGCATCGGACGCTCCTCACCTTCACGTCATACATGACCTCCATCATAGACTACGTGCGGCCACAGGACCTCAAGAAGGAACTCAACGACAAATTCCGAGAGAAGTTCCCGCACGTTAAACTAACACTTAGTAAACTTAGAAGGTAATTCATTACTTATTTTATCAATTTACTAGAAGACCCGTCGAACTTCGTATCGCCCTATAATCAAAAAATATCTGTTACGTTTTTTATTTATATTTTTGGAGTTTACCTATTAAAGCCATAAATCTCCGTGTTTTGAAGTGCGACAGAATGATTGACATATTAGTTACTTGTCAAATCTAATGTGAAAAAAAACATTTGTATCAACAACTATTAATAAATTAAAAATTAATAAAACAAACACTGTCCAGAGGACAAAATTGTGAATCTAAACCATTCCTAGATCCCCTTGAACACACAGAAAAAATTTCATCAAAATCGGTCCAGTCGTTTGAGAGAAGTTCAGTGACATACATACACACTCACAGAAGAATTATATATATAAAGATTATTGTAGAGCATGATTTATTTAATTTTCATATCTTTCACTGTATTTGAATTTGATATTTATAATGTGTTAAGTACATAACGATATGCAAACATTATTATCAATAACTTTTGATATTATGTAATAAATTGTGGTAGTGCAGTTGGTTATTTTAAATATGTTTATGTTTTCAATAATAGAATAGGCTGATAATTTTCCGCGAGCATTGGTAGGCTATACATTTTTAGCGGAGTACTATTTCGTAAATTTTAATACATACCAATGACGTCATACGATAATAGACTAAGATAACAAAATCTGACATCAAATTACCATAACATGATTTTAATGTATTACTCAAATAATATCATATGTTAAAAATATTGTATATATTTATCTTTTGCAGCATTAAAAAAGAAATGAGAAAAATAGCAAAACATGAGACAGGTGGTATAGATCTGTTGTCAGTGGCTCAAGCTTATGTTTATTTTGAGAAGTTAATTCTTGGGAATCTCATCAATAAGGACAATAGGAAGCTATGTGCTGGCGCCTGTCTCATGCTGTCTGCTAAGTTGAATGACGTCAAAGGTGAAATGTTGAAAGCCCTCATTGAGGTAATAATCATATTTATTTTACTATACTATATTTAACAAGATTTATTCAAACAATTTTATTTTGTTTCATATACTTCTTTGTTTATATATCATTGTTTGTTTCATATGCTTTACAGTCATATTGAACGGAGTTAACTTATGTTGTCAAGAAAATTCTAATCTATATATCAAATTTTTTTTAAAGAAAAATTGTTTATATGCCACTCATATTATGTTACTATGGTTATATTTTTATGATTAAAGCAAAGTTGACCTAATACTTTAATATAAATCGAAATCAAAAGTAGAACTTTTAAAATTATAGGATTTTCGTACAAAACACCCAATGAATTCGATATCGGTCCTATTACGATGACTACTCACTATTAGAGACAGCCTCTAACAATTTTAGAGGATGCAGTTTTGGTTAAACTTAAAATCCTAATCTACATTCAATTCATTTCAAGTGACAAATACTGTTCTTTTCACAAAAATATACTCCATAATTTACCTTATTTTAAAAACTTTCCCTCTGATATTTCTATTTTAAACGTTGTTGAATCGAGATTAAATTAAAATATGACATTGAATAACTAAAAACAAAAACAAACATCAATTACAGCGCATCGAGACAACATTCAGAGTGAACAGGAAGGATCTGATGCGTTTCGAGTTCGCTGTGCTAGTCGCGTTGGAGTTCGGTCTGCACGTCCCGCCGCATGAGGTGTTCCCTCACTACCAGAGGCTGATGCACGACTCGTGACGAGCACACGACCAGCCGCGGCGGACCAGCGTGGTAGACAACCTGCGCTCCACAGCCTGGATGTAACTGGCTTTACGTCGCTTATAAATATAAAAAAATAATAATTGTCAAGTGAAGGTTTGTAGCATGACAGTTTAGTCTGGATGTAACTGGCTGTACGTTGAGATATAAATATTAAAAAATAAAAATTGTCAAGTGAGGGTTTGTTACATGACAGTTAGGCTTGTATGTAATAGGCTGTACTTTGCCTTATGTACGTAAAAAAAATTGACAAGTGAGGTTTTGTAATATGACAGTAGTCGTAACGTAACAGGCTGAACGTCGCCTTATGCACATAAAAAAATATCGAGTAAGGGTTTGTCATATGACAGTTTATATAATAGTTTAGCCTGGATGTAACAGGCTGTATGTCGCCTTATGTACATAAGAAATGACAAGTAAGGGTTTGCAACATGACAGTTTATATAGGCTGTAAGACCTAAACTTTTGCTAGTTAGTATCGAAAGAGAAATAATTAAAAAAAAGTTGTTAGAGATATAAATCTAACAGTTGAAACTTTCAACTTAAAAACTTAAAGTCAAACTGTTAATATGAACGAGGAAAGGAACTTTGTATTTTCTATTAATATTTATTTCAGATCATTATATTAAACTTCAGAGGAATATAATATTCGTTTTGGTTTTAAATTTAACAGATTGCTTTCTTTAATTAGAAAACTGATTTATGATTTTAATATCAACTGTCTGTTAATGAAAGAAATACATATATCAGTCAAGTTAGACTGTTTCATAGTTACAATCTTCCATTTAAATGACAGACCTTGTACATATAATGTTTAATGTACATATTATACAGGATATGTATATTAGATTTAAATTATATCAAATATCCAAGTTGAGAGAATGTAAATAATGTTTTGAGTTTTTGCTCTTCAGTTACAAAGGTGCTAGTGTGTACAAGAGATGAATACACACCAGACAGATCTTGAGATTTGTGACATATTGTTTTTTTTTAATAATTATGTCAATTCACAAACATAATAGGTAATATATTGATTTAAAGGAAAAAAATATTAATCATCAATAATAATGTGTCCATACCAACATCACTTAAAGTTACTTATTTATTAAGGTTTTTCCATTTTGGACAGACTCGGTTGTAGGCTTGGTCCATAGTAATATTTTGTCCACTCTAATTACATGGCCATCAAATGAAGAATATGTTAATTCGCCGTTTAATAATTTTGTTGAAATACTTGGAAAAGTAACAACTTGGAAATATAAAGCTGTAGAAAGTATAAAATGACAATTTAAATTAGTTTAAATCAAAGAATTACTTTTATAAATGCAGCTTGTTTCAGGAAATATCTGATTTATTAAGCTATTAACGGATTTTAATTTTTGTTTCTTTTATAATTTTTTTATGGAGCTTGAGTTTTAAAATGTTTATAATCGATATCTTTTTGGTTTGAATCATTTGGCTTTTGGTTATACATAATTTGATTAACTGTCTAATCATGACAATTACCTTATTTGTGTGTTACATACATTATATTTTATTAATGTGGCAAAGTTAAATGTCAGGATTGGATTTTTTAAAGCATGTATGCCGTGAGCTTGATTATATACTCTATTCTGAATGTGTTAAGAGCCAATCGAATTAGACAATTAATGTATTGATAGATTCATCTTCGTCCTTTGTCTACCGTCATTAATGTTTACACAAATGAAAATTGCCATTACTATAAATATCTTTTTTCCCTAGAGGGTCAAGAAACATTTCAAAGTCAATTATAATACTGTAGATAGAATAACATGAATGAAAGTGATTTAGAGTGATATGTAGGTATTAAAGTGGAATTTAAAAGTCTTACACAGATTTATTATTAATTATAATACATTATGAAAATCAGAAAAACAAATACAATAGATTTACATAGCAATGACAATATTTAAGTTTATTACAATATTGCATTTTGTCCTGTTTCTTAACTTATCAGTTTGCTAAGGATTTAAACATTATTTTCATTTTCTTTTCATTTATATGAAAATGATAAAAACGATATAAATTAATCAAATCAAAATTATGTACAAATATTATAATTATTGTAAAGGTAACTATTTTTGTATTCGCTTCATTGTATAATATTGTAATATGGTAGTTATTAACTATTTATATTAAGCCTGATGCAATGTTTTAACATAATTCTCAATTTATATGTTTTATGCTTAATGTATAATAATTCAATTTCCGATTTATTCCTGAATTTTCTTGAATTTTGTTATTCTGTTGGACAAAAGTCGAAAATAGTAATTTTTGTCTGCTGATAGTCTAATATACATGGTTTTTTTTTTAAATATTTAATAACAACAAAGACGAGAGTCTTATTACATTATGATTTTGTAATTTATGTCTGGATTTCCCATAAGAGGCTTTCTTTATAAAAATTAACATATTTGTAGTGTTGCCATTAATAACTTACTAATTTTGCTCATATCTCTCTCACACGCTCAGTTTAGAGATTTTTGGCCTAATATAACGTACTTTTGGATCCATGAATCGTAATATAGAAAAATAAGATTATGTAGTTACAACCCTAGATATTATTCAAATTTAGGTGACGTAATAGAAGTTAGTCGAATTTGCTCATTCATATTTCGATGCCAAAGATAAATTGATTTTTATTGTTACATGTGTAAGTCTTAAGCGACCCTCGTCTACGAATTCTTTAAGCCTTCTTATTATAGACAAGTTACGCTTTTAGATAGTGAGAGTATTGATAAAGTAATTTATTAAATAAATTAAGAATTTTAGTTCTCCCATAAGTTTATGCTAGTCGTTGTAGCGGGAGATATATTTTAATAAATCAGATAAATAGGATTTAATATAGTGAGGCTGAAAAAAATGAGATATTTCAACCAGCAAGTTACTTTCTCATAAAAGTAGTATGTTTTAAAATATTGTTTCGATTTTTTTCTGCAGTAAGTTTTTAAGCCTTGTTTACACTCTTTATCTCGTTTCGTTGGCCTCACTTGATTGTTATGTAAGTCATATAAGAACTTCCTTCCACTGAGATACAAAAGCACTCATGATGTTAAACTTAGTGTAAACATCAGAACCTATATACTATTTAGTTAATTTGTGCATCTCGCAAGATTATAGCAAAGAAGAAATGAAAAACTTTCATCTGTATACATGGTATGCATAAATATTGGTTACAAAATAAAAAGGTAGTGAATTAATTGTTTTATATAATAAGATCATTAGATTTGCCATAATGATGTTGTAATTAAAAAGAAATCTTTTCTTCTTAATGTAAATTCATCAAATTGATTTATTTAATTAATATTCATTTTGTACATATAAGTCACTAATGCAATGATTTTGTAATTCTACTCCAATTATTTACTATAGAATATCTCTGCGGGAGGGAAGTCTTAATTTTACAATTAAAATCATGTGCCTAAAATTAAAGTATACGTTGATTTAATTTATTTTAAAACATTGATTGTTTAACAGTATTTTATTTACTTTTTAGGTTGTTATAAGAACTAAGCGGGATATTTTATTACATATAGGTATAAAATACTTTTTGTAATCTTAGCTTATAGTTTTATTGTTGTTTCTTGGTAACAGAAATGTGCTTATTTTGGCTATGTAAAAAAAAATTAAAAAATATGGAAACGAGTGGAACAATGTATGGTACTGTTTTAATATGAATCGTTATTGTTTATAAAGTCTAAAAAGTTGAATTATATAATTTTATTAATGACTGTGTTATTATTTTAAAACAACTACATTTCAAATTTACATATTGACTATTTATGTATTTAATCTTAAATGAAACTGAGTGTTTCAGATTATAAGCCTTTTTTTAGTATTTTATAACTACGTAATCCTGACTTTATTTTATATCAACTGGGGCCACCGTTATAATATCGTCTGCCCGTAAAACTTAGATTCATTTAAATGTGTACGCGAGAAAATATTAGATATCCAATAAGCTATAAAATTAATTTACATTCTGGCCTTTATAAAGAAATAGTTCTAAGTTAATTTTAATTATAACGTCAGCTGTGCTTTAACTTCACTTTTTAAAATACAATTAATTATATAACTATATAAAATATATGAATTATCTAAGAAAGAAGAGAAACTGTAGAGACGAAACTTCTCAGCATTCCATAATACTTTTTCATTTTAATGGCACAGTGTTTGGGGATGTTGGTCTCCCAAAGAACCAGAAGCTTTAATTTAACAACACACGTCGTAATTAGGGTTGCAATAATTATAGCTTATACTTTCTTTTTCTGATTTTAAAATCTTTAACATGTCTAAAAGAATATAGTGCCAGTTTTCCTTTAAAAATCACACCATTTAATAATCAATGTTTTGGATCACTGAGAATTGTTACACAGCGTTAATGCTAATACAAAATCTTACTTAACATAACGCATACGTAACATCCGTTCTATATAACTGAATTTATATAAACCACTTCCACGCACTATGAACATTTAAGTGTTCAAATTGATAGGTATTAGTCGATTATTTTTATTATTTATCATGTTCGCTAAGGTAATATTTATTTTATTAACTGACGGAACTATTTCAAGGACAGATTTTAAATCATTTATTTCATTAACACAGGACCTTGTGCTGCTATCGATACTTTGTACTCTCAGTTCATGCTTTGGGTCCAACGAAACTAGTGAAGAATTCTTTCGCGGGGACATACCCATTCAACCCATAGACTCAGAGTCAACGTCAGAAATTAACCATGACATACCGGCGCCTCCGTGGAGGTTTTGGAGACCGTGGAAATTTTGGCAATGGGGTTAAAATATTCATACTATCAGAAATTTTCTTCCTTAACATGATTCCTTAAAGCTTACAATCTCTTTTTATTGATAGGTCATGTTTTAAAAGAAAGGTTGACGCGCTCTGAAATGGCGGAGAACTTGCAGGGTACGCTCCATGATTATGATGTAGGACCTGGTCATAAGAAACGTAAATTAAAAAATAATATTAAATTTCTGGTTAAAATACAACAATTTCAAAGATAAAGTTTTAGTTTAACAAACTTTTGTTTTATTTATGCACGACCTATAAGTTTTAGCCTTTTAAAAGTAATTTACAGGATTCTTATTATGCTCTATAAATTTTATATATTTTTTATATATGTATATAAAATTTATAGAGCAATGAAAAGCCTGTTCATGTCATAGATGCAATCATTTTAGCAGACCTATCCTATTTTTCTAAAGAAACTATTTTCTTTTCTCACATTTATCATGTCTACATTGTAAAATCTAAATTATGATCTATTAAATTTTAAATTATATGAAAAATCATATAACGCTCCTTTATAATGCTGGATTCCAGATATAAGTAGTTTCTTTCAAATATCAAGATACTTATTAGAAAAAGTTTTTCAAATAAACCTTTTTACAAAACTAGGGTTTAAGTTGAATTGTCAAAAAAATCATCAGAAGGGTTGGTGGCAGTATTGTATGACCCTCAAATTGGAGAATTAAATTGTAAAAAATATTATTAAAATATTATTTTGTAATTGTAATAAATATGTTTTACATTGATTCTCAAAAGACTGTGACACGAAGAGATAGTTCTTTGATTTCGTCGTATATTTTAGAAAAAAACAGAGATGATTTAAGTTCTGTCCGAGAACATTTAACATCACGGCTTATAAGCGAGTCTGCAGTTTCTGTAGGAAATCGACCGGCGGGTTCAGTCAGAAAAGAATTAATCACTTCACTGTTTGAATCGATGCTCGATAATATTGTGACTTCCTGGGATGTAATTGAACGTAAAACAGAAGAATTTACTCTGGATTTTGGAAAGATTCCTAGCGATGTAACAGTAAAGAAAAAGAAGTCGACTAGTATAGCAAAATAACATTTAATTGTTGAAATTCTCATAAATTATGTGCACAGGATGATACGTTTTCCTATTTTCCAGTTAACAAGCAGCCGAAAGTAAAAAAAAGTCGATCAGTAGTGGAACTAAGTGATAGTAAAGTTGGTATTGAATTTTTAAATTTGATAACAGTTACCCATAGAATGTCTATTAGAGTGATATTATGAAACATGAAAAAAAGAAAACAATTTAAATGTGCGAATATTTAACAAAAATAATTTAACTTTTAAAGGAATGTACTCTGTATGTTGGTCTACTAAAATCTACCAAATTTGCCCTACTTCCCTTCCAATACCTTAGAAGCCTTGATCAATTAACTTACAAGTCTATTAGAGGCAGGTTCGCGAAATAATTTTCGCGAGTTTCGACACGAGGGTCTGTAATATAATTGTAAACCATAATTATCTTCACCATCGACTAAAACTCCACAACCACTAACTTAAGTCTACATTATACATATATGGGGGCTTGATCACCATTTCTTTTTTGTTTTTCATGTTAACACAATGATTGCATCGTTTATATTTTTAAAACTCTCTTGACTAAAAAAGGCTGGTAATGCGTCAAATAAAGAAAACAGCAAAGAATAGTAACGTTAATTATTTTTGTTCCAAGAATCTTATTATAGAAATGTTTGTTGTTACAGAGCGATGTAATACAAACTTGTTGGTGGTCATCGCCAGACGAACGTGCCATTATTAAGTTCCGGAATGGTTGCACATATGAAGGAAATATTTCAATGAAATGTATGCATGGTGAAGGTCGTTACCAGTGGGCAGACGGAACTGTATACCTCGTAAATAAAATACAATAATAAAATATTCTTGATGATTAAAAATATTTACATCGTAATATATTAATATACTAATTTATTATTTATAAGGGTCAGTTTAAGAATAACGAAATAACTGGAAAGGGCACCATTTATTGGAAAGACGATACATGGTATCAGGGCGATTTCCATGGCAACCTTCGACACGGGAATGGACTGTATGTTGATTCTAGAAGTCAGCGCTCATACGCCGGAAGATGGCATTATGGCACAAAAGATGGACAAGGAGTTATTTATTATGATGGCAGTTTTAAAAATTCTTACGACGGAGAATGGGTTTTAGTAGGGATGAATTAAGCTTAAACACAGAACTTAAAAATAGAAATATGAATCAAAATAAAAAAATGTCCTTCTTTCAGAACGAACGTCATGGATATGGTTCCCGTGAATATTGTAAGATTAGCGGTTATAAAGGAGAATGGAATAAGTTTATTAGAGAAGGAAAGGGTATGATGATATGGCCAAATCACGACGTAAGCTAAACCAAAAAAATACATTCATGTAAACTGACTTACAAAAAATATAATAGATATTTCAATTAAATATTTGTTATAGTTCTACAGAGGTGAATGGAAAAATGGTGTCATGTCTGGTTATGGATTCTATATATGGGAAGCTTATTACAATAATTCCATGTCTTTACCCTCGCTGTGTGCATACCGCGGGTTTTGGGAAAGGGGAAAACGAAATGGTTATGGTATATTAAATTTAGGTTTGGCACTGGGCTCTTATTACAAAGGGGAATTCAAAAACAACAAAAAGCATGGAGTTGGAAAATTCGTTACCAATAACGGGCAGATATTTCAGCATAAAAAATTGTTTATTGATGATAACATGGGTTCATTAAATCGAGATGACGATGAAAGCGATATCGATGATAAGTGTGGACGCTTAGAAGAGCCCTATTTGTTTGATATTTGCAACGATTCCGTTGGTCTACTTTATCACGTAGAACGTGTTATAAAGAACATTGACAGAAAACAAGAAAATATTAATAGAATTGTAAATGATTTTATAGAAATGAATAAAATCCATTCAGTGTCTCACGGTCCTAAAGATGATATTATTGATGAGTTAAATGGAGACAGCTTTACTGATTTAATTGACTTTGAAATTAGTTCTTTGTATAAATCATTGAAATGCTATGAAACTGATCTTAAAAATATATATTATAAATACGCAACCATCTGTAACACTGAGGAGATTAATTTTAAACCAATTCTTATACGCTTATACTTGTGGCAGTTGTACTACGATTGTAACTTGCATGATAAAGGGTTGACCTTAGTTGATATTGATAGGCTATTTCACGAGAACCCCGAATGGCTGTCTCGTAAGCCTCACAACCCTTTTGAAAAGATTTACTTTTGGCAATTCCAACACAGCCTAATTTCAGTAGCTAGCAAATTGTATGCCAAAAGACATTTACCAGGTAAGAAACCTGATACTATGTTGGCAAGTGCATTTAGGCTTTTCATGGAAAAGGATATTCTACCTGGCGCTGGTCGAAAAAGAGGTATAGCAGCTGTCACTAAATAAGTCATATTAAATGTAAAAATATATGATAATAACAGTAATAAAGGTACAAATATTTTAAATTTTAGGGAGACTTGTAGGGGGGTGTGGTTCCTTTGTTCCTTTGAAAGACTTGTATCATTTATATCAGAGTTTAGGTGAACCATGTACTGTAAGAACTTTTCTGTGTGCCACTCGACATCCACCGCACTACGCAGACCAACCAAGTCTTGTTGATTACGACTGTTCCAGTCTTGGTAGAAATGCGTATATTTTTGGTGACGAAATTTCATATATTATGGGTGATTTATTTGCTATTATTTTAGAAATATTTGCCTGCAATGAAAAATATTTCTTAGCCTTCCCAAAAAACATGATATGCAATAATAATGATTTATTAATGTTTTAGAAGACCCTACGGAGATTCCGGAAACAACAAAAAAAGATAACCTAAAGCTATTCAACATTGGAAATTTATCAAGCAAGACTATAATAAAGATATTTTCTTTTATATTTCCACAAATATCTGAATTAAACAAAATAATGAATTTGGACGTCGAAATCACGTTTTTTGAGTTTTTTCAAGCTTTCATAATGTGTGTTGAGGAAAGTTTACGACTCTCTGAGCAGGAAGTGTGTCGTAATGCTTCTGCACTCTTTTGATGACATTTTTTTTAAACTAATTGCAGACGAAAAGGATTATACTGCATTTAGTATTTTTTAAAATAATAATTTGTTTTTATCATTTTCTTGGCTGATACTATGTTATTAATATATTGATGAATCTCATAATTTACTTAGCTATTATTTATTTACCATTGCTTTAGTATTTGTTAAACTAACTTTATGTAAGATATTGTAATTAGTATTACAATGTATATTCAGCCTATTTTGTTGACGAACAAAAATAACTTCAAATATTTTTCTTTGTTTTTACTTAATAAATACCTTTCCCACCTTATTATTAATTTTCCTAAATTTCTGAACGAATTTCAGCAAAAATAATTTCTTTGATTTACTAAATTTTTAAATGGGATGGTTATAGATTTAAATTCAGACTAGATTATGACAGGAGGATTTAACTAATTACTACTCTATTGTGGGTTGAAAGGCAAATACGATAGAGAAACACCCTACGCTGTCTTTCAAGCGATTCATTAGACCTTTAATGTCGTATATTAATTTATGTAAGTACATCTAAACAATTAGGAATACCAAAAATTATAAAGTTTAGGTTCAACAGGGCACTTGCAACAGTGGGGGTGAGTGCCTTATTGCTGAGAGGTAGGGACCTGTATAAAACCTGGCAACTTACAATTTTCACTAGATGTTACGATCCATGGATGTTGTAAAAAATAACTTGGAAGACTAGTTACTATTATTATTATATTTGCAAAACCTTATCACTTTCTGTCATTGTAATTATTTCACGTTAACTACCTACTTAGCGCTTGGACCCAATTATGTAGGTGCCTAGAGATGTCAGCGAGGTGGTCGTATATTTTTTTTTTTATTAGATACCAAACATGTTGGTAAAGCTTTGTTCTTTATTCAATAATATAGTAGATTAAAATTTAAAAGAAGATAAGAAGAAATGGAATAGGTATATATAATTTTTGTAAAGCATACATCACAGACGCTTTTTGAATTTAAATAATTTGAAGCCGTTTAAGTGAAGAGTACAATCGAAAGACTAAAGTTTAAGGAGGCTAATTATAAAAAACTAAGATACTATTAAAAATATTGTCAGTTTGCTAGACAGCTGTCTTTAATAACCAAGTCGACAAATTTGTTATTGTTCTTTACTTAAGTTTTGATTTAATTTATAAATATGAGGACAAAAAATCCTATGGCTAAAAAGCCACAACAAATTTTATTTTCAAAAAACATCTATGGACCTAAAGTAAAAGTTGAAAATTGGGATTTTCAGATTCATGTGGAAAAAAAGGACAATTACGTCTACCGTGATAGCCTCAGTAACCATTTGAGCACATATTTACGTTTAGGAACTGATGACCAAAACATAGGAAAAACTGAAACAAGGCATATGCTTGAAGAGATATTTACTAAAACTGATCCTATTTACGCTTTCAAACCTCTCGTCAATTTCACTTCATATCCTTGTACAGAGTAAGAAAAGCATAGATATTAATATTTCACTTAAAATTTTTATTAATCATTACCATTGAACGATCCGTTAAATATTTTATATTTGGAGACAAGTCTTATATATACTAACATCTTTAACTTTAGCACACCAGGACGAAATAAATTAATGAAAAGTGCGAATTTGGCTCAACTACCACCAGATTATGGTATAATGGACTATCTAAGTACGCAACAAAACGATTATAGAAATCCATTCGCTACGGTTGCAAAGCCGGTAAGTAAAACCCGATAATTGACTAACTGTGGCGAAATACATAAGCAGAACAAAATGAAATAAATATTATTAAATTGTGTTTGTGCGACTCTAACATGATTGTATAATATTTCAGTTGACATTGCCTTCGACACCGTGGCTTCTAAATCGCGTGATCAGATCCGATTTGACGCACAACCACGGCACAGCACCTCCCAAAGGAGACTATCAATGTTTGGACACGCACACACCCATCGGTCACATACGCCACATGAGGAAATTCCGCTATCAATCCTTCAACCCGGCCACATGCCTTCAAGACTTCCCGGACGTAGAATTACCATCACACCCATAATAAATAAACAATCACCTTATTTCAATACAATTTATTATTTATTAAATAAAAAATACAAAAGAAATAAAACCACAAAAGAATTAAAACATAATAAGCTTACACTTAAATGACAACATTAATAAATTACATACTCAAAATCCTTAATATCAAATTCAAAATCAAGAGTAAATAGAAAACAACATTAATTCCCTCCTAAATCACAACTTAATATAAATCAAAGAACTAAACAAATTTTATAATGAATCGTTGATAAATTTTATATTTTAAAACAAAAAAGAATAGAAATTATAAACTACCGTAAATATTGGGACTCAATTTCCTGGTTCAACATATTATTAAAGTTTTCCTTAATAAAATGCAACAATGCAACATTGTACTTTCTCGGTTATTACTTATATATCGTTTATATTAAAAATCTCATAGAAGATATGCTGCCATATTTTTAACAAGTCAGGTTAGTTTATTTCATGCAAAGAAAAATAGTCATTAAAATATTTGTAGTATTAAATTAAAAAAAACTTAATGTTTATATACTTAATATTTACAAATTGCCAACTTTAAATATTTATGTAAAATGTTGCAAAAATAATATTCAATTTGTTTCATAAATTTCACTCTTCCTACCCCAGTTTGACAGTAATCATTTTCTTACTTATGTAAAAGCAGAATCTGCTACATTACAAAAAAATTATGTTACAGCATAGATAGCTAACTACTGAGACAATTACTTTTATGTACTAATATTAAAATTATTACTAAATCATACATTTAGTAATACCTTACATAATCATATATAATAAGGCAAATTCAAGAATGGTATGTACTTCAACTATAGCTTGAGTTTCATTAAGAGAAACATTCTTAAAAAAATCTTTATATTTTTTATGATAAAACACCAAAATACAATTTAGTGGCCAGTAAATTATTTATAGAAATTTCTGTAATACCATGAAGTATATATAGCACCTCCTTGGATGTGTCCGGCAAAAGTTCTAACATGAATACAAGCAAATAATAATGAATTCTGTTTATATTCCAAATGAGATATTAAAGTGCTTACCATAATGTCACTAAACATTTCACATAGCAACAACTGACACAGAAATTGTTATAAATATGTTCTTGAAATGTAATTTATACCTAGAGCGTGTGCATAGACAAATAGAGTACCCTGTATGCTAACATTAAACAAGTTCTGAAACACATAGTGCTTAAATTATTCTATAGGAGGTGTTTCATCACCAAATATATATTTCATAACATTTATTTTCAGAAAGATACAATTAAGTCATTGACAGATTTTCTTGTGTAGTGATGAGACTATACTTATACTGAAAAGGACAGTGTTTCTTCTGACAACAAGCTTTCCATAAAATCACAATGAAAATTTTTATCAGCAATTTACAAATTTCTTAGTTTATTAGTCACATTTAAATACATATTTGAATTTATATTCCATGAAAATATTATATTAAAACATATATTTTGTAATCAGATATACATTTTATACCCACAGAAGAAAAACATTCATAATATCCCAGTGAAACTATTAATTTGGATGCTGAAGTCTTTGAAAAGTAATTCAATTAATTGATAATTATTAATTAATAGCCATCTATATAACATATATTTAAACATGAATATATAAAACAATTTCACATATGTAGACTTTGTTTCAGGATCAAGTTATTTTAGTAAGGAGTATGATAAGTTTTCTATATAAAATTCAATAAAATATTTAATGGCTAAATTAAAACATTTTCATATTTAAATGTGACTATTCAAAATGGCTTACAATTATAGTAAATAAAATAATAATTATGAATAACCAAATTACTGGTGATAAAATTAATGAGTACGCCTTCTCTTGAAACCTTTACCTTTTTTTGTTTTTAGTTTGTGTTTCTTGCCTGTGCTACGGCTTCCAATTATTTCATCGGCTATTGTACCGACTGTCGTTAATTTTTTTCTTCTATTTTTCTCGGCTTTCGTAACTGGAAGACGTGTGAGGTAGTTTTCTTCATACTCAGTCTTCTCCTGTTCGTATTTTGATATTGAGTGTTTAACATGATTTCCTGTGCTCATTTCTGTTGGTGCTTCAGAATACTCATCGCGTAATTCTCTCATAACACTAGAATTGAGTAACTGCTTTTTGGCTTGTTCCTTACTCTTCTTGTCAATGTTTGCTTTTGATAAGCTATCGGTGTAATGCACAGCTGCCAGTTTCGGAGGTACATATATGTTAGACTTATTACTCTTATCCTTTTTACCGTCATCCGATTCTTCATTTGAGTCGACATCACCTTCATCCAACTTACTCACTAAATTATCAGGATTAGCACGATAAGCCTGAGGATCGTCCTCGGATGTTTGTCCCACAACAGAAGTTTTAACTAGTTTATCAATCTGATATTTTAATTTAGAATCTATTGGACGTATTTTCTCTAAAACAGTACGAATTTCAACAAGTCGATCAATAGAGGGGTCAGATTCAATTTTTTCACCAGAACATTTTCTTAAAACAATATACGTCAGATTTATTAAATAACTCAAAAGCATTTGATACTTCATTTCTAAAAAGCTGAGTCCTTTATCTGTTGTAATCTCGCCACTTTTTACCCTGATTAACATATTATCAACTAACTGTGAAACTTGTTGAACATTCATATTCATTTCTTTAAGTAAATTAAAGGCTTGAGGCAAATCTGGTTGCTCCATTTCGTCCATAGCCTGAAAACATAATGAATACGAAATCAAATATATATTCGTGTTTAAAAAGTGTATATAGAAATGCGGTTAATTATTATTTGATCATTACTACATATACTAAAATATCCAATTACAAATATTTCTTTTGGATGCATTACAAAAAATTTATAAACTAAAAAAAACATACCTGTACCATGATGCCAAAGTTTGTTTTCGAGCTGTTTTTATCAATTAAAATGTGCAAAAATGATTTCTTAGAAGATAATTAACATTTCAAACTAATTCATACACTGCACATGGTAGGATAGAATTTTTTTTGTAATACTATAACTCTAAAAAATAAAACAAAACTATACTGAGGTCAAAGACGCGTTCCAATGTTGCTTTTCTGCTTTAAGTTTTTCATTGCTGCACGTTTTTACTTCTATGCTTGATGGTAAAAATTATGTGTACTCTATAGTCTATGCCCAATTCCAGTTGTCATATTATTATACGGACCGCATCCTTATCTCATAGTTTTGTACATTTTATTTATTTTAGGTAAATAGAATGTAGGTAATTAAAGTGAAGAGTTGTTTTAAAATTACATTTGCCTGAAAAGGATCAAATATTTAAAAGAATATATATTCATGAAGCTACTAGGGAAAACACGACTTATCATACTACTACACATTTTGTCATAATTGTTATAATTTTTTCACTCTGTATTTTAAATCCTCAAAGCCTATTTTGAATTTTGTTGGCCATGATTATGGTAGTCTAGATAAATAACTGAACTGTATTTTTATAAAATAATTATGTGACTAAAAAATTTTCGCATTGTATATTATGTAACATAATTATAATTTTATTTCAAACTATTGTAACATGTAATACATAATAGATAAAAGCCTTGAACCAACTGCATTAGCCTAAACTAATCTTCTGTGCAACTTTTACTTTACCCTTTTTCCACGGAGAACTATGATGCAAAATATATGATAAACGTATTGCTTTAATATAATTGTTTTCGTTTGATAGTTATTTATTATATAGAAAATAATTCTTAATTAAAAGGTATAATAAGAAATAGAATAACAATATTAATATTGTATAACTCATCAATATTTCAGTATTTATCTCTTATTTTTATGTATCTCTTACTATAATAAAAAATTTGAAATATTCCAACTATGGTAAAGGAGATTCATTTATGTTACATACTTATGTTGTTGGACAGACAGAAAAACCATAAAGAGTTCTGTTTACTGAAATTAATTAAACCTTTTCTTTCCTAAAAGTCCGTTTTGAGAATATAATTTTATATCAATAATTATTTAGAAATATTACAAGTTGTTTTGTCGTTTAAGGATAAAGGAAAATATTCATCTCTTATCTGTGATATATCAAACTTCTTAAAACATACCTATTCTGCCTACCTACCTAGGTGTTTAATAGAAATCCCAAGAATTGACAATTGACGTCTCATATATTTATGATCTTGAAATCCACAAATTTAAAAATGTTTTGTTTGGATTTATTTTTATGCATTTTTTAGCACAGAAAAAGAATTTTGTAAATATGTTCAAAGTAAGTGTTGTTATGTTAAATGTCTATTTTTTATTATTTTCATCACTGAATATTACTAATTTGTGGATGTTTCAGGTTGAATTTGTGTTTTTAGTTAATTTAATTCTTTATAGTCATGGATTTTATGTTCCTGGAGTGGCTCCAGTGGAGTTTAAAAAAGGTCAAAGAATAGAAGTTAAAGCAGTGAAAATGACAAGTATACATACGCAATTACCATACGAGTATTATTCCTTACCGTTATGTATTCCTAAAAATGGAACCTTTATATATAAATCAGAAAATTTAGGCGAAGTTTTGAGAGGCGATCGTATTGTGAATACTAATTACGAAGTTCATATGGCAGAGAATATCAAATGCAAACTTTTGTGTCACAAAAGAAATAATCCAATGAACTGGAGTGTGGAGGAATCTGAGAAGGTCGCTAGTCGAATTGAACATGAATACTTTGTACATTTGTGAGTTTTAAGCTTTGATATGACAACGTATTTTTAAACATTATGAATTTGTTAACTAATGAGTAACATTGAACATTTGCAGATTAGTAGATAATTTACCAGTTGCAACAAAGATTATAAATATCGATACTTCTGAAAGAACTATAGAACAAGGATATCGGCTTGGGTTTATGTCAAAAGGAAAGGCATATATAAATAACCATCTGAAGCTTCTTTTGAAATATCACAGACACAGTCAGTAAGTGACTTCAAGCCATATTCAATATATACAATTCCGTTTTTTAAATTACCCAGCTTGCTGATATTTTAATATTTTGTTAACAGGGATTCTTACAGAGTTGTTGGTTTTGAAGTTGAGACATTTTCAGTAGATAAAGATCACTTGACATTTATTGACGATAATTATTGTCAAATTGGATCAGACATTAAACCACAACTTGTAAATGAGGATACAGGAACCAAATTGTACTTTACATATTCTGTTGAATGGGGAGAATCAGATATTGAATGGGCATCAAGATGGGACATATATTTGGGCATGAAAGATGTTCAAATACATTGGTTTTCTATAGTCAATTCAATTGTTGTTCTCTTTTTTCTCTCAGGTAAAATATTGAATGTTAATAAAAATAACATTTGAAATAGAAAAATAATAATTTATTTATTTCTTTAGGTATCCTAACTATGATAATGGTAAGAACACTCAGACGTGACATAGCTAAATACAATTCAGATGAAAATATTGAAGACATGATAGAAGAAACCGGTTGGAAGTTAGTTCATGGCGATGTTTTCAGACCGCCACCTAAAAGAATGCTTTTCGCAGCAGTTATTGGAAGTGGGATACAAATTTTCCTTATGGCTCTTATCACAATTTGTAAGTTACCAACTTACAAACAAACTGATATACAAATTGATTACATATAAATCAAATAATCATTAATTTCAGTTATTGCAATGCTTGGAATGCTGTCCCCTGCTAGTCGAGGTGCACTCATGACATCTGCTATATTGCTGTATGTCTTTATGGGACTAATAGCTGGCTATTATTCAGCGAGATTGTACAACACCATGAAAGGCAAACAATGGAAGCAAGCTGCATTTTTAACATCTACATTATACCCGGCGATTGTTTTTGGGACATGTTTCTTTTTAAATTTCTTCATTATGGGAAAACATTCCAGTGGCGCTGTGCCGTTTTCGACGATGTTGGCACTTTTATGTCTGTGGTTCTGTATATCTGTACCCTTGGTGTATTTCGGTTATTACTTTGGATGTCGTAAACAACCATTCCAACATCCAGTGCGTACAAACTTTATACCGAGAAAAGTACCAGAACAAGTTTGGTATATGAACACATTAATTTGGTATGTCATAATTATAATTATAACAATAACTTTAAATGAGTTGTGATGTTTAAAGTTCTTTATTTGTTTCAGTATAATGATGGCCGGTATACTGCCATTTGGAGCTGTATTCATAGAATTATTTTTCATTTTCAATGCCATATGGGAGAATCAGTTTTACTACCTTTTTGGATTTTTATTCCTGGTTTTTTGCATACTTGTTGTATCTGTTTCCCAAATATCTATTGTAATGGTATACTTTCAACTCTGTGGTGAAGTGAGTATGATAATAAAAATGTTTACTTAATATATGAATATAAACAATTCATAAATATGTAAATTAAATTTATTTTAGGATTATCATTGGTGGTGGAAGAGCTTCATCATCTCTGGAGGATCTGCAGTTTATATTTTAATTTATTCAATTTTTTATTTCTTCACGAAATTAGAAATAACTGAATTTATACCAACATTACTTTATATTGGCTACACAGGTAAATTATATCAGCTAAAATTTTTAAAAATTGAATAGTAAAAAGAAATCATATTATTATTTAGAAGAAATATTTTCTCCTTTTTTTCACATAAAGGACATAAATATATATTAACACTACATTATTATGTGTTAGTGTATATATAAAATATATATGTATTTATATCCAAATATTAAAATTGATCATGGTTTATGGTATTGATATCTTTAAATTCTTTTAGGAAAATGTTATATATTTGTTTATTCTAAAAATTTAACTAACAAAATTTTTCAGGTCTAATGGTACTGACATTCTGGCTTTTGACTGGGACTATTGGATTCTTTGCAGCTTATACATTCATCAGAAAAATCTATGCAGCAGTCAAAATTGATTAATTTCCATGTATTTAATGTATTTTTACTTTGTATAATAAGATTGTGTGTGTGCTAAAGTTTGAGATTAGGTTGTATAAAAGAATTACAGTAAAACACCAATGATTAAATAAAAATAAGATCGTGTGTCCTACAAGAATATTATATTTAATGTTGAATTAGATGAATGGCAAAAACAAAGAATGCACAATAAATTTGCCGTTTATTAAGTAAAAAAAAACAACTTTTAGGTAAATAAGTATTTGTCTTTTTTGTGCACTGAAATCCCCTAACATTAAAATAGTCAACAACGAATGAAAGAATGTAATGTTTTGTAAAACTAAGAGATTGATTTAATATTTTAAGTATTAGTAACATCTTTACCCTGACGTTTAGTAGCCATAATAAGTCGATCAATTATTATATTTTCTTTCTTTGAAGTGGGTTCAAATTGTTTTGAGAGTATTGTTTTTTACATAATACTTAGGATTACCCTTAGCATATCATTGTATTTCGCATTTATTGCATTACAGTTCGGGTAGTGACTAGGGAAGAATATATTAAATAATTGCAAAATAGTAAATATTGTTATCATTTTTGTTTATTAATAAAATCGGAAAATCTTTTGATAAGGAAAGTAATCTGTGAGATAGTATGAAATTGTTTTGACATCGTTAAACTTGACAAATGTCAAACTGATAAACAATGACGGGGAAACTAAAATGTCATCAGTGATAAAAATATTTATATTTGATAGCGCTAGATTATTTTTGTGAATTTATATTTTCTTTTCTAAATTATTCCATACACAATGTCTACCAAAGTAGCAGTTGTTACAGGAAGTAATAAAGGTATCGGATTCGAGATCGTTAAAGGATTATGTGAAAAGTTCCCGGGATCCGTGTACCTAACTGCTAGGAATGAAGAAAGAGGGCGGAAAGCGGTACAGCGGCTAGAGGAGATGGGATACAAGCCTTTATTTCATCTTTTGGATGTTACTAGTGAAGCTAGCATCCAAGAGTTTGCTAATCACGTTGCATCCCATCATACGGGAATTGACGTTTGGGTTAACAATGCCGGTATTTTAGATTTCGATAAATCTGTATCATCATATGAAGATTCGAAAAAGCTTTTGGACACAAATTTTTACAGTCTTCTTACGATCACAAGAATAGTCTACCCTCTTTTAACAAATACTGCTAGAATAGTAAATTTAAGTAGTGATTGGGGTTTGCTGTCCAATATCAACAAACAAGTGTGGCTTGACGTCTTAAACAAAGACGATCTTACTGTCGATGAGATATTGCAGTTTGTAGATGATTTTTTGGAAGCAGCTAAAAATGGCAAAAAGTCATTTATTTCATTTGCTGGTTATTATGGAGATTATAAAGTGTCTAAAGTAGCTTTGTCAGCATTAACATTTGTTCAACAAAAACAGTTTATAGAACAGGGGAAAGACATATCAATAAACTGTGTGCATCCGGGCTTTGTGAAAAGTGACATGACTAAGGGAAGGGGTAATTTCACTCCAGAACGAGGTGCTCGAACACCTCTATACTTGTTGCTTGAGGCTCCACAATCACAGAAAGGTACTTTTGTGTGGCACGACGGTCACCAAGTGAACTGGGACGATTGAAACATTTCAAAAGTTATTAATTGTTTAAAATCTGTGATAATAGTGTCACACGCACTTTAACTTTAATATATGTAATTGTTTTTCATTTTGTTACATTTTTTTTATTTGTTAATTATAAACCTTTTCCTATTGTACAGAAGCTTCACTTTCCATATTAAATATCTTATTAATGTAGTAACTTTTTTATTAAATAACAATAAAGACTTTTTTTTATAATATCTTGTTTTAGAATATATGTAATAATAAAGGTATGTGTATATTAAGGTTATAAATTTTAAATACATATACCAGTTAGAAACTTATTGGTATTATTTAATTTTATATATTTATCCAATTGGAAAACTTGTCAGCATTTAATATATTAGACAGAGTCAGTTTAAATATATATTGGAGTGTATAAAGGGGGTATACCTATACAAATTTATTTTATGAATTAGACTCAGAGAAAAAATAAAATAAATATATACACATGAATATATTGTGTGTGACAAAAGAGAATAGATTTTTTTATTATTATTGGATAACTGTGGTTAGATACATTTTAAAATTTCTACCTGTGCTTTTTGCCATTTTTAACATGTCTGTTTAACATGCATATTTTGTTATAAGGTTTTTTCTTAAAAAATTATTCATTTCTAATCGTTAATTTTACTTTATTATATTTTGTCGTGACTATCGTAAGTATCAAAATCGTTTTAATTAGTTTACATTATTTAGTTACAAGGGTAGTACTACTTTTTTAAAACTGCTTATAATTTTATGATAAAAATGTGATTCTATCAATTTGATTACTATTATTCTAAGTAACCAATAAGTACCAAAAGGTCCGGATAATAAAATCTTCACCATTTCTCAATCTTTAAGATTTCAACAAAATTCAAAAATATTTGGATAATATAAAAATGTGTAAAATTTTTCTTATAAAATATTTAAAACAATTTCCTTGCTTTAAAACAAGAAGGAGAGAAAACAGACGTCGGGGAGAGCTTGGATACTATTTATTTTACTTATCTAACGTTTATTAAAAGTAAGTAAAAGTTTCAAAATAAAAACTTATCCAAGACAAACAGATAATTAAGAAAATGAGTGTAATAATTGTTAATGTGAAAATATTAACACATTACCTTATTTATATTGCTAATCGCATACACATATAACTCTCGTTCATCTATCAGCATTCATTTTCGGAAAGGGGCTATAAAGCTGCTGGAAGAGCAGCCATGGCCGATATGGCGGTAAAATTGGTTCGTATCAGTTGATAGTGTTGATTTGTAGTTGTTGTTGAATGAAACAAATATAATTTGAACTAAAATATAATTTATTTTTGTTTTTTAAATGTTCAATAAAAAAAAACATCAAAAATGAGATTTTAATGTTCATGATGGTTTAATTTTTTAAAAAAATTTTTCAACAAAATTTTAAGTCCGAAGAATTTTCACTAGAATAACACCAAAATATTGGGATTTACTATGCGTTTTTTATATTATTTGACTACATATTCCCGACGTTGCAGCTACCATGATCACGAACAAACGAGATTTTTTTAAAAATTAACTATAAATGTTAGTTTTATTGATATGAATACTCGCGATATAAGTCTTAGATCTTATTAAGTTTCTATACAGGGTGACTGGTGAATTACTATCGATACTTGAGGATGTGATATTTGACGATCATATATGACAAAATAAAAATTAATATAACATAAATATTAATAAATTTCTAAGTAAAGTTAACCAAAAGTTATGTAATTAATTACGCATCGTGTGAACACCCTACAGATTAGGTATACACACACACACATACGCGCGCGGCGGCGTGGTGTTGTATCAGCACGCCGCCGCACGCGTCCACACTTGGAACACTTGGAACGTGTCAACACTTTATTTATTTATACGGAAATTTTGTCAAAAATTAAGTGCCTATTTTTTTTACATAATTCGAATGACAATCATGTACCGAGTATTCTCCTTAAATATTGATAGTAATTCACCAGTTACCCTGTATACAGGGTGACTGGTGAATTACTATCGATATTTGAGGACGTGATATTTGACGATCATATATGACAAAATAAAAATTAATATAACATAAATATTAATAAACTTCTAAGTAAAGTTAACCAAAAGTTATGTAATTAATTACGCATCGTATGAACACCCTACAGATTAGGTATACTACACACACACACACTTGCGCGCGGCGGCGTGTTGTTGTATCAGCACGCCGCCGCACGCGTTCACACTTGGAACACTTGGAACGTGTACAGACTTTATTTATTTATACGGAAATTTGGTCAAAAATTAAGTAGGTACCTATTTTTTTTACATAATTCGAATGAGAATCATGTACCGAGTATGCTCCTTAAATATTGATAGTAATTCACCAGTCACCCTGTATAATAAAAGTAAAAAAAAATCACATCTCATATACTTTATTATTCCGCTACTCTACGATTAGTTCTTAACTGGAGAATGTTGGTTTTACGTATTTTTCTGCCAATGTTAATCAAAACGTGTTTTTAAAAATATAGAATATATTTTTATTGGCATAATTGTTATAACCTATCTCGTTGATAGATTAAAAAAAACTGCAAATATGTTATACGTAAGTATATAAGAGTTTTTGATTTTATAATTATGAAACAAATGTGTAGGTAAGTAGGAGTAGGAAAATTGTCGAAAAAGGCAATTAAACCAGCTTTGGTACTTTGAGCTGTTTTGTTGTTAATACTAGGCAAAAAATAGAAAAAGTAACTAAATCGGTGCTTGCTTATATGCAATCGGATTCTAGAAGAAAAAAAAAAAAATTTTTGTATTTGTTTTAAGCTCTGGTATTAAATCTCCTACAAAAATCTGAATATAAATATATGAACATATATTTATATTCATGCACAAAAAGCGATACAGAAGCTTTAGTAACAAAATTATAAAATTGAAATATTAGGACGCTTCCATAATCATTTTTATATAAGTATACATTTTTGCTTCCTTGCCGTTGAAAACTATTGATTAAGTGCTGTTGCATATGTATTGACAGGAGTTTACAAATTACCGTAATTACAAACCGGTGGGTACTTTCAATCAATCAGTCAATAAAGTTTTAATTTTTCAATGATATGCAGTTTTATTTTACACATATGTATATAGGTCAGCATGTATTAAATCTCATTAGTAGCGTCGTTGCATTCGAGCGCATTTTTATATGGATTCTATTGTTCTTATCAACTTAATTGTATTACTAAATCGTGATGGCGGAAAGTCGAGGGGTGGTGCTTTGGAAATATCTAAAGCCAATATAGTTGTTGATGCATCTGAGAAGCCTGTAAGTGGCTGGTTGTGCATTTTGTAATATACATTCATGTAATTGTCAACGTTTCACTAAAGGGTTACCAGGCTAAGAAGGTATTAGCTTTTAAATAGTTTTATAGGTTTCATAATGTGATTTCAAATTCAATAATACTTTTTATTTCCTTCAAAACGTCTCTACATTTTTAAATAAATAATTTATAATTTAATTCATTTTTTTTAGTATATAACATTTTATTTAGTGGAAGGTTAGTAAAAGTAATAAGCTTCTATTTGCATTGGATTCAAAGGTTATTAATATTGTTTGTTGCCTTATAATTTATATACTTATCAATATATAAAAAGGATTATTAATTAATAAACATAAAATAAGTCTTTTCCTATAATTTCAAAACGTAATCGATGTCTTACTATACAGTAAGAATTTTGATGGAATAAATGAAAGGATGATGAAATAAAAAAAGGAATAGATTAGTTAATATGTATAAAGAATCTCAGACATCTTATTATTATTTCAGACTAAATAAGTAAGTCAAGTCAATCTATCAACCTAATCTCAAATACATAACATTTTTTTATTAATATTATAATATTTCCAATATTTCTAATGGACTACCTATATATGCCTTTGTATGCCTTTATGTTTGAAATTTCATATTTTATAGAGAATTTATTATGCTATTCTTTCACAAATTGTTTTTATTTAAAATTGTTAGACTATTGAATAGTAGATAGATATCAATTCGTAAAACTTTTTTTGCTAAGAATATATTTTTATGTTTTTAAATGACGCTAAAAAGTTGCGTTCAATTAATTATTTATTATTAAAAAAATATTGAAGGAACGTAATAATCCTTATAAAATGAAATTTTCGCTTTTTTATTTTATCGTACTCTCTCAAAATCTTTACAGCGCATTTCAAAACCCTTTCATGTCAAATTACTGTATTTGACTAAGTCTGTACTTAGCTACGTATTTGAAATTTTTAATAAGTTAATAATGCGTTACGATTATTCTGCGATCAATAATCTGCTTCAGTTCGTAACAAGAAAAAAAGGTAACAAAACTTTTTGTTATAAAGAAATAAAACAATCATTTTCTTGGTAAAATATTTGTATTTAACTGGCCTTATACTATATTAAATTATAGAAAATAGGTCACATGTAGGCGAGATTGTTAATCGCCACTATGAAGGTTTAGCCTTAAATTTAGTACAAAATGACACGGTTACACCGCTATACTATAGATGCAGCTTATCTACAATTCTCCTAATGTTATTACATTATTTTGATGGTTCACAGTCATTAAATAACGGTATTGATAAACGATCGTAGTACTCTTTGGTGTTCTAGCCGTTGCGCTAGCATAAGCTCTCTCTGTAGCCGCGTTTACCTTTATAAATACCTAAATATATAATATTTTGATGAAACTGACTGATTTCTAGCGTGCAGATAATATTTATACATATGTTGTATGGTAGCAGCAAAAACCAGGCAATTATTTGTTCATAGCCTTAAGTAGTTTCGCTTATCCTGGTAGATTGATAACTACACTAGTCTTCCTAGCTCACACAAATATTATAGGCAGGAGATCAAAATCTTAACGTTTAAAGGTGGAATACCTTTTCACGATTTATTCGATAAAGTGACAAAAGAAATACAATAACTTAGTGCGAATTAACTATTATTATACAAACCAAAAAAATAAAGTAAAAAAAAATACTTTGAATATATTTTTTAAGTAAAATTAATATTAAAAACTTGACCACTCTCCAGATTAAATAACGTAAATGCTTTGTCATTCTACAGATTATAACAAAGGAATCTGAAACCTAAGAATCTAAATAAAAAAAAAATGCAAAAACTTAAAACTAAAAATGCAATCACTTAAATGACAATTCATAATTGATAGAAAAATCACTAATCAAAATTTTATAGGAGTTTTATAAGAAAATGGTAACAGAAAAACCGATCATTACATAAAATGGTAACAGCTGGTAGCTTTAGTGGTGGTCGTCTGGTAATTAATTAACAATACATCACCTAATGTTTCTCGAATTAATAATTAATCAATCCAATACAAAAAGATCTAAAACAATGCAATTCCTTATAAATATCATATAATTACAGGACTTAATTACTTACAAAAATACCTACTTATCTAAATAAATACAGCGTTTAACACTCGACTTAAAGACACTTTGGTTTGTATTGGACACGTTTTATAAATACATAATAATAATAATTAATAGTAAAAATAAGCCTTATAAGCTTTATAATAAGTCTGATATTAGAATTATAGTCTATTCTTATATCACAAATATAAGCAAAAATATTTTTTTATGACAAAAACAGTCCGCAAACAAATTACTTTTATATAAACCAATTAGAAATTAAATAAAATATTTTAGTCCTATATACAGTAATAGCGTTATATTGTATTGTAAAACACATTCTATTGATCCATTTCTTTTTGGGGCTCAAATTTTATGCGTAATATATCACAATGATGGGACGGAATTAAGTTTAAGATGCTAAAAGATTTTTTTGTAATGTCAACGACTGTGGTTCATGATCTAATCCTATCAATTCTGATAAAAAAGACATTACTCAAAATCTTTGGCTAAACAAATTTTAATGGTGTCACAAAAATTATTCATTTGTACGATGAGACACCTAAGTCCTAATGTGTTCTAGTATAGAGGTTTTTCTTTATTATTTTTACTACTAATTAGAAATTAGTGGTGCGAGTGGTGCTGAATCCTCGCCGTAGTATCTGTAGCGATGTTGAGGGAGTGAAGCACTGGCGTTGGAGTCAACGTCTGAGTGTTGGGACTCTCTGTGGCGACGGAGGTCTACCTTACGTTGAAATGCCTTATCACAGAGACCACAGGAGAAAGGCTTGTATCCAGTGTGTTTACGCATATGTGTTATAAGGTTAGAACTCTGGCTGAATGCTTTTGAGCACACGACGCATTTGTGCGGTTTCTCACCTGGGAAAAGAAAAAAAATTAAATGCTGACATTATTGTTACACAAATTACCATTATGACACAAAACCAAACAATACAGAGAGAAAAGAATATGACGTTATCCTCAAGTAATGGATAAATGTAAAATGCCTTTGAAAAGTAAACAGAATGAAAACAGCGATTACATTTGTAAAACTAATTTAAATGAACAGTTTAACAGTTGTTGTGTCTCATCAGTTTGCATAACGTAATAGTAGGCCAGCGGTATAGGACGGTGAAAACAATAATTATATCCGTATGAGTACTAACTTGACACGTCGCATCAGAAGCGTTTACTTAATAATTCATCTTAAAATTACCTTAATGACTTATTGGTTGCAGTCAATACAAATTAGTGTGCACATATAAAAAGCACATATACGCAAGAGCTACGCTGCACTGTAGCGGTTCTACGCATTTTTCTAATTTACTTTGATAGATAATAGATTTTAGATTTTTCCCGAAAAAACTAATATTAATTTCTAAATAATTTGTAACCCACAAAACATATTTTCGACTTTCATCGCAAATATCCATATCATTATAATATTAGATAGTACCTAAATAGTATTAAAATCTAATTGTTGACAAAAATCTACTATTACGAAATGTCTCAAATATTATATTCCCATACAATCTTAGATAAAATATATTATTGAATCGTTTCTTATAAATAAATTAATGGTCACATTCTGTCCCCGCAACCTATATAGTGAGAAAAGATGTTAAGAGAAAAAAAGTCGACGCAAAATCCTTCATAGAGGGAACAGGCTTTGCGGCTTTTTGTTTGTGCTGTTACGTCAAGGTCTGAAGGCTGCTAATTGCGGGCCGAGCTGCATTTTCGAATATTGATGATGAGCCATTTATCGGAGGACGAACGCCATTTACGGCTACTGTAAATCATTTAGACCAGACTCGATGTGACGAGTTGTCTCTGTCGGGACAAATAAGTCGCTAGCATTCTTTGAAATCTTCATTTTTTCGATCATTCTTAAACTCGATGGTAGCAAAAAAGCTTTCATTCTTTGTGAATAATAATTTATGTACGCTATAAATGTTTATTCAAAACCCAAGTAGTATATTAATGTTTCTTGTTCGTTGTAATAATAAAAACATATATAATCATATGTTATTAATGATAGTTCTGATATTCACTAAGTTTAATTGTCTTTTAATTAAAATTTGTTTGTATTAGTGACATGAATAAAACAGATCAAAATACACGAGAAGCACTACTTCGTTTCTGAAGTAGGTACCATATAAGCCGATTAAGTCGTAATGCAGTTGATACAATAATACAATCAATAAAGAAAATATTCTCTAAGACTCTGAAATTATGATTACACTTCTTTAGAAAATCTGACAAATTGTATGTTATTTGGTAGTTCGAAATGAATTTCAAAACGTTATTTCACGTATTGATGTAATAACAAAATTTTCAATAATGTCCCAACCATCATGTAATATTAAAACACTTTGTCAAAGCTTTGTAAGTTGTTAATGTATAATACGAGTTCTTGTTACAGTAACGTAATGACACGATACAAGTGTGAAACTTAATAAAAGTGACTCACTTAAACTCCAACTGTTAACAGAGAATTAATTTCCGAACTGAATTGTTGTTTAAGAACGTTTTGTAACGTAATCACTATCGACCGAAAACTATATTGTTTTGAAGATATTTTACAAGTATTTTCTATGAGTTATCAGAATTCATAACATTCCTTCATGACGTAATTGTTTATTATGTCATTGCTTCGTCAATATATGTATATTTTCACATGACGTGATAAATATCGTATCGTGAACATTTTTTATTCGTGAAAAAAGGAAAAATCGATATCAATTGTTCGGAACAGAAGTCAACTTACCCGTATGTATGTAGGTATGTTTCTTCATATCGGACTTCTGGTGAAATCTTTTTCCACAGTACTGGCACGGGTAAGGCCTGGTGTCTGAATGGATGAGCAAATGTGTGGAGAGAGTGCTGGACCTCTTAAAGCACTTGCCGCATTGTTTACACTGAACAGAAATTATTAAATTAGCATAAAACGTTTTAAATAAAAGTATTAATGTTATTTTATTATAATGAGTTCATTGACCCATCGAACATTACACATAACACGAATTTAGATTGTGGAGTAGTTTGTGCTATTTGATTAAATGAAAATTTAATGCATAAACAATGAATTTATGCTGACAGCGGTGTAATGTGTTGAAAAATCCAAGGAGGGTTTTGATTGAGTCTATATAAATAAATAACATAACCGACACTATATTTTTCTGTGAAAATTTACAATCCATATAATTAAAAGTACAATGGACAGTGTCTATCACGTGTCCCGACAACTACTAATACTCTAATAACAGAGTACATTTTTTTACCCCTTTCTTCACATTTCTTTGATTTCTTTATACGCTTGTATTCCTAATAATTACTTTATATCAAAGGGTTATTAGTTATTTTAATTCAAATATCTTTTCTTTTAATGTCTTCTATAATTATAGTTATATGTATACAATGTAGGTGACGCGTGTTTTTCAGATTTACAAACCGTGTGTTTACTTTGTGATCAAACAAATTCTTTTGTATGATTTGAATATTTCGTTGACAAACGACAGACAAAAGGCTCTTTGGTTAGATTTATTTGATCAGTTGTTTTTAAATAACATTCAGAGTCCGTGTCGAAATAGTCTATCCGTTTCTAGCATACACATATATTGGACCGTTTAATTTTTAGATTGTGGTATTCTTATTTAAAAAAGAAAAGAATTTAGGTGAAAATTTATGCACAAAAACATGTTATTAACAATTCAAAGTCTCCCTTTTACTTCTTAATTTATATTTTAAAAGATCTGCAATTAAATATACGAGTTATAAGATTGAACGAATTCCGCAAATTGACGGTCTTCAGCAATTAATTATTCAACGTCTTATTCTGATAATTTTATTGTCAAATTAACCTAAATTGTTATCATCTGGTATCACATACTAGTTTTAAAGTATGTTCAATGATGTTTAACCACAATTCAAGGGTAAGTTTGCATGTAATTACAAGGGTATACAGTTATTAATCGGGTGGTTAGCCGTTAAGTATGCGAAAGGGATTCCAACAGAAATCCGCGTCGACTGTGACAGTTGGCGGGGCAGCTGCCTCGCGCCTACAAAAACTGTTAGTTTTTTTCATTCTTTTTTTATACGAATGCACTCTCTTATAAACAACACAGGTGCTATAGTATCATCATCCACATATGGTTATCTGTTTGTAACTGGTACAAAGCTTATTTTTTACGATGGCTTCTTCTATTAAAAAATTCACTTGCTCGGACTACTGTTGAGAGCAAAAGTTTTGTCAAGAAATATTAAGAAAATTTTTGCTTTATATTGAATATTATTAAATAGAAATATTTTTTTAATCAATTCCCGTAATTTATAGCGTTATTTTTTTTATTTGAATTATATTTTCATGGATGGGTTGATGTGTAACGGGCGAAAACAGTGACACGAGCCGGCCACGCGCCGCCGTCCCCCTGAATTTAAAACGTATCCCTTAATCGGTTATAACATTTGCATAATTACGAACACTTTAATAATTAAGATACTTATTATCAAATTAACCGAATAAATACCTGAGATTTAATTTAAAATCACAGATATTTTCATTTGTATTGTCGATACAATAACTCTATGATACAAAATAAAATGTCTGAAATGTTTATATAAAACTCGAGATTCGATATACAGTACCTGTTGATTAAAAATATAAGAGATTTTTATAACGTTGTCAGATAAAAAACGAAGAATATAAAGTGGTGAGAAGCTTGGGAGCCGCAAAATGCGTGCGCCAGGCGCGCGACTTGTTTCAATTCAAGAGTACTTATTAAGACAAGAGCAGTTTTTGTTATTTGATTTATAAAAAGACCTACAAGATACTGGTTTGCTATTTAAAGGCGACTGGAACGGAAACTGTACAGTTATTCATTTATTCTGATCACAGCAAAGGATGTCGCGATGTATCATTAAGACAGTGGGTCAGTTACCTGAAAAGACTTCTCACTTTTATTTTCATTTTTGAGTAGGAGTGAGAAGTTGATGTCTGTGGAGGGTGGTGGAGGCTGGTAGGTGTTGTATGCTGGTGCTGAAGGGCATCTCCTTGGTTCAGCGCTCAGAGCTCGTTCAGCGTCAGGACTGCTCTGGCATCTCTTGACAAGTTCCAGTGGAGTATCTTCCTCGGGTCCATCCCAACGTGAAGGCGATTCCCTCTCAGTATCGACCTGTTCACGCTCACAGGCACTACCCGGTGACCAAATTTGACGGTTCTTCGTCGATAGATTTAGTGGTAACTCTTCTTCATCATCTAGACAAAAAAAATATTGATTAAGAAATCGTTTTTATAAGTAATTATATATAAATAAACTTAAATATAGCATCTGACTTTATTTGAAGACCTCATGCGTCATTTTAAGATTGTATGTGTATTATGAATTCTTTGTTAAGTTAAATCTTAACAGATATTTCATTATACATAGGATTTTCCACCTGAATCAATTTACGATTTCAATACTTTAAAGTATTTTTTAAAAGAAAATTTTATTATTATATTTTTTTAAATAAATGACCTTTTCTTAAATAAACTGCGAAGTTGTAGCATCGAAGTGTTTTCATTTCATTATCGTGGAATGTTTCTGCTTAATAATTAAAAATGTTTATGCAAATGTAATTAAATATAAACTTGTTCCACTTCAATTAGAAATCATTTGGCAGTTCGAATCTAGGTCTTTTTGGTACGTTATCTTTGATTCATGGCCGCCCGCGACGTTTGAGGATAAGCATTCATTTGAATACTTAAAGAATTTTAACATGACAAGGAGTACATGCGATGCCTTACCTTAGTACATATGAACGTAATACAAAAAAGAGTTCGGCTGTTGAGGTAAACGACTTGTAAACGACGGCGTATCAGCGCCTCGCGGGTTTAATCGGTAAGTGACGGTGATAGTTATTCTAATGAGGAGCACTCTAGAAGTCAAGTAATCAGGCCGAGGGAATGACTACTTCGAAACTAAATAACAATTGTTGCAAACTTAGAACATTGATTGTTTAAACTCAAACAAGATTAGTACTTTAAAACAAACCTTATAAATATTAAGGGGATTGACAGCATCTTATCTTTGTATATTCAGCTTTATGCAACAAATACGCGGTGGGGAGTTATGTTTTCGAGTTTTCATGTATTCGGCTTAAGAAATTAAGTATAAAGATTATTACCATCTCTTGGTGGTGTGTTTCTAGAATGTTCGATGCTGTGGGAGAAGGGTGGCGCGTGAGGCAACAACAATGGCCAGACACCAGCACCACCATACAACGCTCCCAAACCACTGCAGTACATGAGAGCGCCAAGTTCTATACAAATAAATAACACACTTATAAACACTCAAACATTATTTTATACAGCATAATATAATTATCCCTACTAATATTATAAATGCGAAAGTAACTCTGTCTGTTTGTTACGCTTTCACGCATAAACCACTGAACTGATTTTAATGAAATTTGGTACAGAGGTAGAGTTGATCTTAAGAAAGAACACAGGATAGTTTTTATTCCAGACTTTTGAAAGGTTCTCTTGGAAACGCGCACTATAAGAGCCCAAAGATTTCAGTGATAGCTATAATTATATATGATACTTGCCTGTAGCTCTAGCGTATTGTTTCAGAGCTCGTCCTGCTACTTCGATGTCTCCAAGATGTAACAGATCCAGGCGAGGCTGCGAGAGACAGTCGGGCGATTGTGGAGGAGACCGGGGTGATGTTGGCGTATGAGGAGACACGCTCCTCTCAGGAGACGGGAACCTTTGACCCGGCAACGAAGAGGTTTGGAAGTGCTCGGCAAGACGGGACAGAAGCACGTGACGAGACATCCTAGCAAACATATGTACTTAAGTTAAAATCAATATAACACCTTAAAATACTCTTCAAAAACCAATAAAATAGAGTTTTTTTTTATAAATATATGATGTAAAATTACAATTAAATAGAACAATGGATAGTAATACATTGTACAAAACCTTTAGCGACCGATCAAGTTCCTAATAACGTATGTTATAACGTGACGATCGCCATTAGCGTCTATTTGTTGACAGCTCTCGGCCTGATTAATCCAGCCGGGTATGTGGACGTATCGTATTAAAAGCTCAATCAAGCAAATGAAGAATCAGGATAATGGAAGTGGACGTCACCCGCTGCGTACGCGCATTAATAATTCACAATATATTGAAGTAAAACAATCTTCATTAGGCTAAAACACATTTGTTTTGATAGAATGATTGTATGTGTAAGCTTCGACATTGCTTCATTACTTAATTTGACGTAATCAAATGATAATATTTTGATGTTTTAAGCGAATTGCTCAATTTTGTAATCAACTTAGAACGTTGGGGACGGGTCTGATAACGATCTAACGGCACCTGTTAAAGGCGTTTGTCATGGATTTTGATGTAGTTGATTCCGATTTGTTTTCGTAACAATTAAAATTGTACGTATCGCATTAATTGCGATCTGTATCGCTGTGTAACAAACAGGTGAATGCAATTGATTCCAGCCATTACATCAAATTGGCTAACTGGTGACTTGTGCGAGGGCTGTGTGACGCAATTCCTTATTTCAATAAGGCAGCACTTCATTAGTCGCTGGTGGTAATTACTTGCCACGCGAGTCCTAGCATTACTTCATACATATAGATAATGGGAAAAATAGCAAGTGCTGACATAAAAAAATCAATCAGAGCTACGATCAGAACGTATCATGTACCTACTGCTAGTGACTTAATTTATATGTCTATTATTTAATCTATGAAATCAATATCACTGTAAAAAAATCTATAATTGAGACGTAAAAAAATATTAAAACGTATGTACCTATTAGAATTCTTAAATATTTTTCTTAGTTAGTTATTAATTTTAATGGTATTAAAAGTAAAAATTGAGGTAATTTTTACTTATAATTCTTTACGTACATTGTACCATATCCAATAATTTGGTTAAAAATTATCTCACACAAAATTTTTCATAGAACATATTAAATAATACATTTTTTAAAGTTATTAGGAATATTTATCTATATTATTTAAATAATAACAATTCTTAATAATAAAAAATATCACACTAACATATTAATATAAATATATGCATAATAAAAATGAAGAGAATATTTAATATTTATGTTTAACTTACCTAAGGCGCCAAGACAGCACTTGGCGTAAGTACACACGATCACAATAGCAACTCACAAATGTTTGATGATTTAAATCAGATATTAAAACTGTTATTATTTATAAACATATTCATTAGCAACAAACTGATGAAGCCTGTATTGTTTCGCGCGCGTCTGTAAGGCTGTGCTCGCGTCACACGCTCCGTCGTGATCGGCGGCTCACACCTGACTGAAGGAAGGCTCGGGCGCCGCGACCTACCCAACTAGTAGGATATAACGTACTTTTTTTCAAAACTCATAAAAAACGACAGGTTGGGAGGCTGAGCTATAAACGATTTGATGAAATGGTCACATGACAGGTGGCCCGCTCCGCATTCTCGTACTGAATAATTAATGTCCTACGTACGCGTGAAACACTGAAAAATTACTTTTGAGTATTAATGTTCGCAAATAAGCCGTTTCCTTTCTACCTCAACGCAACCTCGTAACGATTAACAAACGTTGCTGTTTTTGTTTTCTTTATCTCGAAGGCTGCTGTTTTGGTATCGGTATCATATAATGTAATTGAAACCTGACACTAGGAGTTGGGGGAAAATCAGTGCACGTGATGATGAGATGGAACGAACGGCTCCGCCCTCACGCGGCATTGGTAGCCTACAGGCGGGGCGGAGTTTAGATTAGAAACAATATTAGAGACGAACACACATACCGTTTGGTTATATTACATTTGATGAAAACAATCTCACTTAGATTATTAAACAGTGTTAAACATTTACAAGAAAAGTTACACGCTAGTGACATGTCACATGACTATTATATAAAATAGTCCTTAACTTTAAAAACATTAAAGAAACACTGATATCTTCATTGTTTTTATTTTCAAACAGCTCTGTATCTGAATAAAAAGGAACCAGCAAATCAAATTTATCTTTGTAAATATATCCAAAGAATAAAAGTATTCATATAAATTATATAACTTAATAATACAATTGACAAGCAAGTACGGGTAATAAACCATATAGTTAATACGACGATTTTATATACTTAATGATATTTTACAGTCGATTAACCCCTTGTAACAATCACGGGAAATTTAATTAGCCAGCTAATCTACTTCGATAGTGTTCTGTTACAGACGGTGCTGTATGGTTTCAGGGGAAGTGCTTCAGTACTTGGAAGGAGTTTACGGATTGACTTACTTATATAATAGTTATCGATAGTTATTAAATCTTTACATCACTATAACAATAACGAAATTACATGCGTTTGGTTCAAATATTAACTTAAAATATAAGATAAAAAACCTGAGATTCATCTTTATTTTCTTCTATTTATGATAAAACAATTAAATTATCAAGTGTTGTTGAAATAATCTTCAGTTAATAAAAATAAATGTGTTAAGTATTAGATGCTATGAAGCATTAACATAAAACGTGTTGTACATCGATTGACACGTAGCCTCTAAAGGTCAGGTGAAAGAATACTCGTAACATATTACGAGTATGTATAATATAACAAAGGCGTATAATTAAGAGTTTATTATATTGAGGTCTCTCGATAATATAAAGGTTTGTAAGTTTTATATTTTAACAAATAAATACATTAGAAAATAAAAGTAGATAGTCTTGAAAATATAAACATAAAATATTTGATTACTAGACTGATGTTGAAGATACCGCGGGAAAATAAGACAATAGATAATTGCGGTTAGTGATACGGGTAGCTATTGCGAGGAGGGTGCGGGTTTAACCTGTAGGATGACGGGAAGGCGAGGTGGGAGGGTGAAGAGGATGCGGGGGTGCGTGGGTGCGTTCGGCGGGGGTGAGAGGGTGCGGGGCACGTAACGGCGAGCGCGTGTCGGCCCGTTAGCTGCGCGCGCACATGTCGCCTCGGCACGCGCCCGCGCCGCTTTTTATTATGCTTTTTCATTCCTTGTTTTGTTTTCTTCCTTTGTTCGTGTTTCGATTGCCGTACGAATGGAAAAAAAATCCCGTCCCCGACGTCCCGATGAATGGGAGTTTTTGTCATATAATTTTATTTTATGAATAATATTTTGATGCATGTTATTCGTGCTGGATTTCGACTGATTTTTATGTATCGCATCAAATCTGAAGTCGCAGTCATTAGGACGGAGCGTAATTGTTATGACTGGTAGGACGAGATATGTTGATAAATCAAAATAAACTACATAGTGGCTACGTTGGGTTTCAGCTGCAGTGAGAACCGGTACTGGGCGCTGGCCGCTGGCCGGTGGCTCCGCCGTACCTTATAGTCAACTATTATTAATTGGGCAGATGAGAACCACGGCGACCGTGATGAATGCCACTGCCATATATGGTAAACGATTCGCGAAACCTTTTATAGATTCTCAATTAAAAGTGTCTATTATAGTTAATAGGGCGGTTGGACATTGTAGTTTATAGAAACAGGAATATTTGCTTTAAGTGTATTGTATAAAAAAAAGCATCCATTATAACGGAAAGGACGATTAAGTGGGATAAAATATAGCGTGGGGGTGCGGGTGGCAGGTGGCATCTTGTAGAGACATCGTGAACCTCGACAACTCCTGTCGACTAAAGCCTTACCAATTTTATCGATATATCTTTATATTTTACACGTAATTTTGATCAAACGATAAAGCATATTTGCAAATACTATGCTAATAATTATAGTTTTTTTTTGCAAATATAGTTTTCGAAATTCAAAATCTATTTCATAACATGTAATCATGCTTGAAGTTTTAATATCTTTTCATTGAGTACATTAACTTACTATTTATAATAAGAACAAGAGATATTTTAAGTTATCTGTAAACATCACTAATTGTATAATAAATTAATCGATATAAGTGTTTCCCATCACTACGACACCCTAAGTCTCGGTCCAAAAGATTCAGCGGCATGTGCGTCCGCGCCTTCCTTAACGGATTTCTTTAAACACCCGCGCGTGTCGTCCCGCTTTTATTGACAGCAGTTACAGTTTTAAATTAAACAGATTTTAATTGTAATTGTTATTATCTATTCAAAATCTAAAGGTCATAGGACATTTTTATATAAAGAAGCGAGAATCTTTAATTTAGTTGTCATTAACGTAATTAACTTGCATTAAGTGTTTGGTATATTTGGGTTCGGCCATTTTGAATTTAAATATCTTGAATTTTATACTCTCATATAAAGTGATTTACAGTTATATACAAAATATATAACTATAAATCATTTTATATCAAGGTGATAAGAACATAAATTCTATATTTAATCAAGTATTGAAAACACGAAGAAAACTAAATAATAATTCTCGTAAATCAGACTTGTAGCTACTATAGTAGCAATTAATAAATATAAAATGAGTTTTGAATCGACCTAGAAAAAAAGGACTATAATGTAATAATAGATTCAATGAAAAGAAAACGATGTAACATTAAAATTACGTATGTAGTTGATTTTAATAGTAATGATAGTTTTTTAATATGTAGATTATAAAAGTAATTGTAGGTATGTAAACTCTTTTATAGCTCTTTAATTTATATTAAATAATTATAATTTCAGTCTTAATTATATTATTATTGTAAGAACTTGATCTTTTTACTTGATTTTTTTTATAAATATTTTGAAATTCGATATAGAACTCAGATTATGTTGCAGTAAATTGAAAAACCACAGCTCAGTAAAACGATGACAGTAGCCAATTAGTTCAAACTGTGACAGAATTTATTTATCAATGGCTATAAAAAGGCTTTTTGATTTTTCTGTATTTTGTAGTTGCGTTTTTTTGCTACTTTCGCAATATTCTTGATATCTCAAAATAACTTTTTGAGTTACAATAAATAATCGTTCCGCCCGCCCGCCGCGAACGTCCAGCAATTATTTATAAGTTTGTATATATTTTATATCTTATTTAGCTATGGTAAAACTCGTACAAAGCACGATGTTAATACCGTCGGCAATTTATTTAATTTATTACCAATATTGTAAATATTGATATCATTGCACGCTTGCATTTACGTGGTATTTTTTATAAGATTAAATGAAACTCATGCTTATAAATATGTTACATAAATAATGATGAATCCTTAGCAACATGTTGTCTTTATCTTTGATTGAATTTATGAACAGTGAGGAGACGGGTTGGTCGAGTCATGTGGCCGGCGTGCGCCACAGTCGAAACCTTAAAAGCTCAATGCGTGCGCGTTTTGCACATGCGGCTGGATGAAGCTAAGCATTGTGCGATGAATCCTCACCTGCCTCTCACCTATATTGGCACTCCGCTAATTGTTATCACTCGCACCCATATTGAAAGCGCACATGTGCTACAAGGTCATACCGTAATTTGTGGTTTACGATTACATTGTAAGTAATTTACGCTGACGTTTTCGGTTAACCCGATGTTTATATTCATATCTTACTTACGATATATAAAAGGGTATTTTTGCGGTGGCTTCTTGTTTTTCCTCTATCGATATTCATAACGTAATATTGGGTGTTTTGTTGGTATCAAAAATATCTGAACGCATGCTATGTACATAGTCTTTGACAATTTAATAGCATATGCTCGTCCACCTGCCATTGCAAAAAGTAGAAGCAGGCTTCAGGCAATGTAGCTCGCGATTCGTCGTAAGCTTATATTTACTATTTTATAAGCTATTTATCGGTAGTTGTTTGTTAAGCTGCAATAAGCTTTTCATTTTATCCATTTAAGGCGTTTAGTATTGTCGTTGGTGAAATTCATCAGGTGTTCAATATTATTAATGATTAATTGTTACTCATTGCGACAGCTACGCCAGTCAGCTTGCAAATTAATAAAACACATTTTGATATCAATTGTAGTTAATCCCTATTAAATGATAAATTAAATATTTATTTTTGTTGAAATCAAAACATGACATATTTATATAATCTTTTCGTAACAAATAGTAAAAAACAATTATCTTTGACTGAACCGTGGTGGTTGTTTAAGACTATCAAATCAGATTGTGCAATTGATTCGTTTTCAATTGGTATAAAAATTCAAATCTTTTACACATTTTTTTAGATAATTTAAAAATATACAATAGAATTTAATAAATGAATTTATAAATATATAAAAAGGAAAGGTACACAGAATAATTTCGTTTCCTTTAACTTTAGAAGCGTAAATTTGTCATGAAATAGGATTTTTTTATTGAGTATGTATTTTAACAATATTTCCTTTTAAAAAGTTTCACTATTACTTAGTATCAGTACCATGAAAGATTGTTAATTGTAATTAAAATATAATGCATGATAAAAAACTATTACCGGAGTTTTATACATTTTATCTAAAAGCTATAAAAAAAATCCACTTCAAAGTGCGCATATTCAATGTTATCCGTTGAGATAAGTTCAAAGAGGCTAAAGCCTTTTAAACAACAGCCATATTTTATCTATGTCCCAACTGAAAGATTTAGAATACATCAATTAGATGTATTTTCACACAATACGTAATAATAAAGCAACATCTCATTTCATAATATGTACATTCTTCAGCGGGTTTTTATAGAGCAGTGCTCAATCTTTTTTAAATTAATCACTGATATATTGATTTAAAAAAACTGCGAAAATTTCGTGAAATAAAGTTTAGAATTTTATGGCAATAAATTTAATTTTAAATAGGTTGTCTAATTAACTTTTAAAATATTATATACACGGACTTGATTGTCTATGGCAGTCTACTTAATAGACCATCCTTAAAAGCCTTTAAAAATATACGTAATAGATTTCAACATCTACCTTTTTCTGTTTCCTTGTATTATGTTTCTTAATATAGATAACTTTATATCACTACATGGTGTGGCAGATGTCGGAGTAATTATATAATTACAAAAAACATTACTAATTAAATATATATGCTAGTAATTATTTTCATTAACACATATCCTCCGGCTTTAAGTAACAAAGGTTAAAAGCGGCTAAATTACCTGAGATTGAATGCTTTATACGAAAAAAAAATATTATTACCTTAACAAACATCAACAGTTTAGCAGTCAGAACACTTCTAAATTTTAATTCATTTTTATTAAAATGTTATCTAGTAAAATTTATATAATCCATTTAAATTTTATATCCAACTAGCTTCGCCCTCGTGGAGTTCGGTTATATCGCGTTTCCAAGAGAACCTTTCAAAGCCTGGGATAAAAACTATCCTATGTTCTTTCTCAAGGTTAACTCTATACGTACCAAATTTCATTAAAATCAGTACAGTGGTTCAAGCGTGAAAGCGTAACAGACAGACAGACAGAGTTACTTTCGCATTTATAATATTAGTAGGGATATCATGAGAATTCAAAAAGGAAATATAATGACAATAATTAAATAAATACGTCTCATAATCCGCATTATTAGCAACCTATAGCTTCAATGAAAGGTAAATGTTTTAGCAATAAATAAATATCTCTTTCGATCCTAGTAATCTTTGTGACGTGTCAGTACGGGCAGGTGGTGCAGGTCCTGGGATCGTCTCGACGCTTAATTGATTCCAATCTGAGACGAGATTCAAGATTAAAAATCTCGCGAGTTCACTTTCGCTCTCCGACGATACGGGTTGACGGTAACGGAGCTTTGAATCGAAGGTATCTTTATATTTATACAATTAATAATTTATTATTTAGTTTAACATTTATTTATCATGTTTAATATACTGTATGAATGAGAAAAATAAGAAATTTTACGACTGTATATCAAGGAAAATAATACAAAATTATTATGAGGAATGATAGCGAAATTTTATACTAAAAGTTATTGAACATTTTATGCATTATGATCTTTTAAATCTGCTTATTTTTAACGTCAAGAACAATTGTCGTTACTGCATTAATCTGGGTGCCATGGGCGCGGTGTAATAAAAAAGCTACCGCTGGACCGCCTCGGAGCGCACCGGTTAAATTGCTACCAGCCTCCTCTTTAAGCTTTATTATT